GATGCGTGTGATTCAATACTTGAGCTGAAGGGAAGTGTCAACTGGCTGGTCTGATACTTTATTGTTAGAGTAGCAGTGTGACCTTGGCAAAATCACTTCTCAGAGTCATCATCTGTGAAATGGGGGAATGAGAGGTTAGAAAAAAATTATTTCTAAAGTACCATTTGGCTATAATATTCTAAGGTATTTCTGATACCTATGTCCACCAGTTACTGACACCATTTTATGGATGTGGAAACATACGACCAAAGAGAGAAACTGATTTATCCTGAAGCAAAATTAAGTCAGTGATAGACTTTTTATAAATAGATACCTTGGATACAAATGGGAAACTCAGTATCATTTCATAGGCCTTTGCCAAAGGAACCACAAAGTGCTCTGCTAAATGGACAGAAACATCAAGGAGCTCCAACTTTTGCTTCTGTAAGTGCTTTGGTATGGACTACATTTTATAACTGACCAGTGATGATCCTCATGGAATCACCGGCTCCTACAGCAAACAACCCTGGAGAAGTAGGCCTGTTCTTTTTCCAAAGGCTAATAAAAGCACTTGCCCTTTCTACGCCACCATAGACAGGACTGAACTCAAGAGCAAAAGACGATTTAAAAAGTTATTTTTAGAGAATTGCTTCCCATTATGGGGATAAGGTAGAAAATGATTTAGAGTGTTCCATCGGCTTAAAAGCTCAGAAAGGAAATGAGTTAGGATTTCACATAAAAACTTTCACTTCAATCTTAGCTTTTATGTTAAAAATAGAAGAAAAATGAAATCATTAATCTGGGATCCTTACCATAATACAGAATCTCAAAGCACAACCCAAGAAAACATCTCATGCTTCCAAGGAACAGAAATTTAAAACCACTTTACTATGCTTTTGCATCCCTATTTTTCTAAGTTGTAAAGAAATACATGAATGTGACTTTTCATCATACCTTTCACAAACACAGATTTAGATGATTCATTTTTCTGCACACAAAGAAATACAGGTCCATTAATTGGTAAATTTTTTCAAAATTAAGGAAGATTGAGTGCCCCAAATCACTTTCAGTATTATGGGGGGGAGGGGGAACAAGAGAAGAGAAGGGATTTGTGGTGTTAAATGGAAGGGAATTTGTTTTTCTTTTTTTTAAAAAAGATTACCTTAAGGATTTACAATTCAAATATTGCACTACTTTCTTTTTCCATAATAGTCTAGTCTTTGCAAGACTGGTGAATATAGTTGGTTACTTGATCTAATTAGACCATTCTGCCCTATAAGGGAAAAGTAAATTAATTTAGGATTTCCAATTACATCACTCAACTTAGATCTAATTGACAAAGGATTAAAGAATATGACAGAAACAATGTACCTGGTATGTTACAGTACAGTTTTTAGTTGGGGATAAGGAAATAAGAGATTTACCCTCTTCTAGACCAACACATAACATGTTTGCTTTGGATCTAAGAGCCAAATAAAGGTTTCAGCTTTCAAGGGCAAAAAAATGAAAAGTAAGGGGGAAAGTCAGTAATCTTAACAGATTACTGATTCCAAATCTCAAAATAAACCCAAGAGTCAGTGTGTGTCTATAAAAGGGACTCAAAGAATCCTCAGCAGAAGACTCAAAGACAGCAATAAGTAGCACACTGGACCCAGCACAATGGTACTTTGTGGGGCAAGTAAATGTAAGTCTAAGTAATCTCCCACATACTGAGTAGAATTAAAAAAGCCCTAGGTAAATCCCATTGCTACCTGTACTAAGAGGCCCTGGTTCTCCTGGCTGCTTCTAATCAAGTTAATTTGCCCTTCTTTGCTATTACAAAAACACTGCTAAGGAGCAACAGATTCATTCTGTAAATAAGAGAAACCTCATTTACCCAGAAATGGATGAGCTAAGGTATCTCAGCAACACTCTCAAAATAAAACTTAAGGATAAATGTTTCTTGATTCTATAATACAAAGTAATCAATTATCACCATAAAACTGTATATATAAAGTTGGTGGTTTTGTTTCCCAATAAATACAAATTTGTGGTTAAAGAAAGCATGGAACCAGGTGAGAATAAGTACTCTTTGCCAGGCTATAAAATCTGGACTTGAGTAGCAACCAAACAATGATACCTTGGATTTATAGGACACAATTCTAGGAAACCTCAAATGTGGAAAAAATGACTTAGATCATCATTGTACTACCTCTGTAAGGTAGCAAGAAACACACATTATTACTCCTTTTCTAAAAAGTTATTTAGAGGAACAAAGAGGTTAAGCAACTAGCCTAAGAGCTTTTTTTTTTTAACTTGCCTAAGCTCTTATGAGAAATCAACAAAAGAACTAAATTTGGACGCAGCATATTTCTATAGAAGTATTGTTTCCCAAAAGGGGTAGAGGTTTCCCTTGGGAAAATAACACCAATTATAGGCTATACTTGAGTGTCACAGAAGCCATATCTCAGAGAAAAAATACAGCATATGTTTTAAACAAACTAAAGTTTTCCACTACTGTAATTTTCCTGGGAGAGAAGATGTACAGTTCATATAGTACATGGGCCAGGAATTTACCACAACTGTCCACCTAGCAATGAATTTTTTTTCTCCCTACAGCAATTCATTTAGACTGCCTACTAAGGTTTGGAGGGGTCGTTATTTGCACAGTACCATATCCTTGCTACTGAAATCCCATGTCTAGAAGAATGGGAGTTCTGCCATTAACTTGCTGTATGATCTCAGATATATCACTTAATCTTTCTGAGCCTAATCCATAAAATGGTAATAATCCAACATGTATTTATTAGGCAACAACTACGTGCAAAGAGGGGCAGTTAGGGTAGCAGGGGTTGCAGCCAGGAAGACTCATCTTCCCGAGTTCAAATCTGGCCTCAGACACTGACTGGGTAAGTCACTTAACCCCATATGCCTCAGTTTTCTCATCTGTAAAATGAGCTGGAGAAGGAAATGGTAAACCACTCCAGCTTCTTTGCCAAGAAAACCCCAAATAAGGTCAAGAAAGAGTCAACTGGACTGAAACAACTGAACAACAACAACAAAATGTGCAAGCACTAGTGTTAGGCATTACAAAGGGAAAAAAAAGCAAATAGTTCCTGTCTTCCCCCTGAGAGAGAATTCAAAATAAACACAAAAATGAGGGAAAGGATCAGGAAAAGATTCCTGGGTGGAGAGGAGGGGGAAAGGACCTGAGCTGAGCCTTGATGGGAATTAGGGAGTTTCAAGACGAACAGATGAAGGGAAAGAATGTTTTAGGAAAGGGAGGAAAGCAGTAGCAAAGGTGCACAAGCAGTATATGAAATGTCACATACAGCAAGCTAGCCTGTTAGTTGAAGTGGAATGAAGGTGAGGAGAGTACTTTAAAATAAGTCTGGAAAGACAGGCTGGAGCTAGGCTAGGACACAGGCCTTAAAATCCCGAGGCTGCTCACTGGTCTCCCCTATAGAAGAGGGCAGGATAAAATGCAAAGAGGGGCGGAGTCAGATGACAGGCTCCTATCCCTCTTATTAATGATACCTATTCAGTGTGTAAAAAATGGATTAAAGGAAAGAGACTGCAAGTAGAGAGAATGACCTTTTAAAAGGCTCTTGCAGTTCTCCTGGTAAGAAGACCTGAACTCAGGCGGTGGTATGAGAGTGAAAAAGGTGGCATGTGAGTGATGTGGGCATGGAAGTGACTAGACAGGGCAAATCGGTGGGTGTGGATGGGAGGAGGTGGGGTGAAGAGCAGAGGATGACTCTGAGGTTGTACACTGGGGTGAGTGGAAGCACTGTGGGATCTAGGACACAGCCCCTAGGTGCACCCAGGTAGAAATGCGGCTGATGATCCAGTAAAAGAGACTCAGAAGGGACAGGCAGGCCAAGACAGGGGAGAACAGCGTCATGAAAAGGAAGGCAGGAGAGAGCATTCGATACATTGAGTGCTTAATAAAAATAACACCTATCATTCCAGTATCTTCCCTACCCCATTCCCGAGAGGAGGGCAGACCAGGCTATAAGGAAGTTGGGGGGAAACAAAAGGAGCTAACAGAGGCAGACGGGCTCTCAGTGCATCACCAGGCGTTTAGGAAGCGCTTCCCCAGCCCGGCGGCTGTGCTCAACAGCAGGCGGTCCCTGCCCGCACGGAGCGCACCTTCTAACGGGAGAGACAACAGGCCGATCCCTGGGTCCCTGCCTGGGAAGAATCGGTGGGAGGGAGTCTTCGGGGGAGTCGGGCCTGGCTGCACCCAATGGGAGGCTAAGAGGCGGAGACAAATTGGGTGGGGGGCGAGGGGGCGAGGGGGCGGGGGAGAGAAACAAGTTTTCCAAAGGGCCGCGGGATAGCGCCGGGAGCCAGAGGCGCAGGAGCCCCGGCTCTCCAGCGCGGCCGGCACGAGGAGGGGAGAGACGCCGCGCCGGTGGAGGCCGAGTCTGGGCCCGGGGACCCCGGGGGAGCGACGGAAGCCGTTCCTGTCGTCACTTACCGCGGCCGTCGCCAGGCTGTGCATCTTGGGAGCCGCCCCTACTCGCTAGCCGCCGCCGAGCGCCCCGGTCCCGCGTTCCCGCGTCAGTAGCCCGGAGGAGAAGCGGCGGCCACCGCCATCCGCCCGCCGCTGGCTCCGCCCCCTTCACCGCCCTCTGACCCTTGACCCCGCCCCCACACTCCGGGGCCTCGGTCCCAGCTCCCTCCCGGCTCTAATGCCCGGCGAGGGGGAAGAGTCCGGAGCTAGGTCTGATTCTCCGCCTCCCCCCCCTTAACTCGGCTGTGGGAATGTTTCCCACAGTCCTTCACAGTCTCCGATCACAGGGCTGCTACCCTAGAGCCAGGGATGGGCCCTGTCCCTCCTAGAGAGACAGGAGAAGGGCGGGAAAAAAAAAATAGGAGCGAGACACCTTGCCCTCACCCCCGCGCCCAATGGGCGAGGAGAGCGCATGCGTAAGGAGCACCAGGGAGCTGCTGGGTAGAAAATGAGTCACGGGAGGAAAGGGGAGGGGCTGAGGTTGAGCTGCGCAGGCGTGGCTGGAGGCGGGCTGCAGCTGCTTAGCGTCGCTCAGCGGGAGCTGAGGAGAGGGGCGGCGGCAGGAGGCGGGGTGAGGAGAGGCGGGTCGGAAGGTTGTGCGTACGCGCGCACGCGCTGCGTCCGTCCGGCCTGGCTCGGCATTGCGCGCCGAGTGAGGGAGTGCGTGCGTACGTGCGTATGCGTGCGGTCCCGGTTCCCGCCATCAGCCGCCGGCCCTGACGGGGGGCACAGCGCGCCAGCTTCTCTGCACCCGGCGTCCCCCTTTCCCCCTCCCCCCCCCGCGTCCCCGCCCGGCTCCTCGAGGGCTCCCGGAGCTGCCGCTGCAGGTAAGGAAGACTCGGCCCCGCTGCCCCGACTCCCCCGAAGCCGCTCGCTTCCCGCCCCCGGCCCGCCCCCCTCCAGCCGCCCGGTCAGGGACGCCCGCGGCGCTCCGGGCCCCGGCTCCCCCGCCCACCCGGGCCCTCTCCCTGGCCGCTGTTCCTCTGGAGAGACCCTCGAGCCCCGGCTCAGGCCTTCTGCCCCTGCGAGCCCCGGCGTCGCCCCCCGCCCGCGCGCCTCCGCTGGCCCTCTCCCCCTGAGGTGGGCTTCGAGCCCCCCTCCTCGCTTCGCGGAAGGGAAAGCACCTCCCCCGCTCCTCGGAGCTCGGAGGGGAACTGCGTCTCCGTCCCCTTCGGGGACTCCTCTCCCAGCAGACTTTTTTCTGGACCCAACTTCAACTTCAACTTGATCTGGAATCCCGGGACTCTCGTGTCGTATTTTTTCTCTCGGGCTACCCTCCCTCCTCCGCTCCCCCCGCCTCCGAGTCCTGCCCACTGACCCTCCCACGCCTACTGAATTTGAAGGAAGCTTCCCTTCCCAAACCGCACTCCACCGCCCCATTCATTCATTCGGCATTCAACAGTTCTCCTGCCCTAGACGCAGAGTCAAAGTCCTTTGCCTTCCTAGACCTGCCAGGGTAATAAAACGACGGGACATGGACAGTAGTGCATACACCTGTTACGGGCAAAGGAGAGCTGGAAAACATTGACTTTGTGAAGTTCTCAACAACTACGGGTGGAAGGAGGGGATGTCGTTACAGTTCAAGGGGGTCAAGAATTGAACCCATCAAAAAGGAGTGTATTGTGCCTCTGCAGCGAATCGGGCGGGTTCCTATGCCTAACACCTGGGTACCTAGCCAACCGCACGGAACCGGGAGAGGGTCAGAATTGATAAAATATCTACCGGAATAGTTGCTTCCCTAGTTTCTGGGATGTGAGAATGGCCAGGAGAATGACTCAGTGTAAAGGGGTCTATCTACTGTTTTTGTTTGGTAACTTCATACAGTGACTGACAAGTATATGAGAGTGAGAAAAACGGCCCTCTTTGTTGATGTTGAGGCAGATTTCCTATTTTCTTAACAGCAGGAAATAAAAGCCCCAGGAAGATTCATTGTATACTATATTAAATGATGGAGATACTGAAACTCTCTCTTTACTTTGTAGCGTTTAGTTTGAGGATGTTGAATGAAAAAACAGCACTGAAGTATAGGGTAATCAGAAAAAGAATCCCAATGCAGAGTGCTCTATTTTTTTTTTTTAATTATTCACTGTATGTTTCTACATCTAAGTTTGGCTCCTGCTCTTTGGAAGTTTTTTAGAGTGAGTTTTTTTGTTTTAGAGAGAAGGGGCTGTGTGTGAAAGGAAAGTAAAGTTTACAAGCTGTTCCTATATTTGAATGGCATTCATTTTTGGAAATAAATTGGTTTGGGTTTATAAAACTTGCTTAATATAAGGTGGTTTTTTTTTAATTGAATGTCTACATGTTCAATTCTTTGTTAGAGAGTAAATAAGAAACTACTTTTATCTAAGACATTACAAGAGAATTACCACAATGGGCCAGACCCATTGTTCATACAGCACAGAATTTTGCCTCAGACCTTGGCATGATATCTTTAAAAAGACAAGATAGATATGAACACACTGTTAATCAGCGAGCGTTTGTTAAGTACCAGGAAGTGATAGCGCTGAGGATCCAAAGACAAAAATAAAGCTGTGCCTGCCTTCAAGAGGCTTACAATGTAGGCAGGGAAGATACACATACATATAAGTATGTGCAAAATGATTTGAGGGAGGAGGATAGACGGTGGGAGGAGATCAGGAAAGACCTCACATAGGAGGTGGCTTTTTAGTTTGGAAGGAAAACAAAGGATTCCAAGAGGCTTCAAAAACCATTATTTGGCTATTTTTCTTGGCTTTTAATTTTTATGGTTTTTCTTTCTTTAGTATTTGAATGGCTTGCTGTTCTGAGGTAAAATTTATGTCTTTTGAACCTCTTATTTTCATTAACTCAGGAAAAACTTTATAGATGATTCTGACTGTGTACTTTCTTCCAGACAGGATTCCCAGGTTTGCCCGCTTCAGTTGGTAATGCTTTTTACATTTGTGGGTTGGCTCTGTCTGTGGGGAAACGGTATTCTGTCTCTGATGCAAGAGTGGGTGTTAGTTAGGGATATCAAATAGAATCTGATTAGGAAAGCTACTTTTCGTAAGGACAAGTGAGTACTATGATTTTTTTTCCTGTTATCAGTGGACCTCAAGCAGTAGAAACTGTATGATAATTTAGACTGTTCTAGGTACAATAAAGTGTTTTAGAGGCACCAGTTCACTAGTAATTTGCTATATAGTGGCAAGTACTTTTCCTTCTCCATAGCAGCCCTGTAGGGTATGGAACAAAAGGAGCAAAGAAGTTTCCAGTTTTGGATTCCAAAGTTGTCATTCAGCCCACTCTTCCTATAGGATTACTTGCTGCACTTGGCAAAATTGTGAAGTGTTATGCAAATATAAGGTGTTAACATTAAAGTTGGAAGGTATCTAAGAGGTTATACCTAGTTGGTATCACCACTACCACCTCCCCCTTTGCCCTCTGTTAGTGTCTCAGTTTCCCCATATTTTGATATTTTCAGCTGGTGGCTCAATGGATAGAGCACTGAGCCTGGAATCAGGAAAACCTGAGTTCAGATCCAGCCTCAGACATTTACTAGCTTCATGACCTTGAGCAAGTCACTTAACCTGTGTTTGCCTCAATTTCCTCAACTATAAGGTAGGAATAATAATAGCACTTACCTTGCAGTGTTGTTGTGAGGATCAAATGAGATAATAATTGTAAAGTGCCTGGCACATAGTAGGTATTGCATAAGTGTTTATTGCCTTTGGTTCCCTGTCTACCTCACAGGATTCTGAGAAAAGCAGTTTGCAAAATTTAAAGTGCTATGTAACTGTTAATTGTTATTTTTCTTATCTCTTTCCTTCTGCACAACAAGTGCAAAACTTGGGAAAGATTATTCATTCATTGGACTAGGGATTGGATGTTTGCTTTCATTGGTACTGGGAAAGGGGCATGGGGAAGTGATAAGTTATATAGTGTTTACTATGTGTTAAGCACTTTACAAATATCTCATTTTGTCCTCACAACGACCCTCTGAAATAGGTGCTGTTTTTATCTCCATTTTACATTTGAGGAAACTGAGGCTAAGTGACTTGTCCAGTGTCACATAGCTAGTGTCTGAGGCTGAATTTGAACTCTCATCTTCCTGAGCCCAGGCCTGGCATTCCATCTACTATGCCTCTGCTACTGGGAACTCTCTGGTGAGGATATTTCTTTTGCCAATGCAGGTCAAGAGCTTCTGTGCCACTTATGTTGTCTTAGTTGCTTAGAGTGCTTCCAGTTTAAGTACCTTGCTCAGGATCCCCCAGCCAGTGTGCATCAGAGGTGCTGATGTGATTGTGTGTTTGTTTAGGATGGCAGAGGGAGGTCCTGGGAAGAACATTGACCTTGGAGTCAGGAGGCTGACGTTCCGCTTACGACTCCAGCGCTTATTTGTGACTGGGGACACATTATTCTCTGAGCCCTTGGTGTCAACATCTGTAAAATGAGCAAAATAAGACTTGTGCTATCTACTTCACAGTGTTATTGAGAGAAAAGAATTTTGTAAGCCTCAAAGGTCAGTTATATAAATGAGAGTTGCTATTACTGCCTTTTTTTTTTTTTTGGAACCCAGGAAGACATGGGTTCAAGTTCTGCCTCAGACATATACCGTATGTGACCTTAGACAAGTTACTTGACCTATTGGTGCTTTATACCAGAGATGTTAAACAGTGTAACACTCAGTGTGGCCAGAACCAGATTGAAATGTAATGGGGAACTATTTGATAACACAAATAAAAATACAATAAAATAATGCTATATTTTAAAACTAAATATGTGGCCCACAGGGATCCTTATGTACAGCTCAGTGGGCCCCCTTCACCCCCCCATTTCTATTTGAGTTGGACACCACTGCTCTAGAAAACTGTAAGACTGTAAGTTGTAGATAAGATGCTAACCTACACTGGTAGAGAGAGTTTCATTCACGTGAGAGTTCCATATACTATACTAAATGAAATCATAGAACTGGTCTTTATCCATTTTTTAGGAAATGGTTTCCTCATAAGGGCAGTGCGGTTTTTGAATGAGATTTGGACATTAAGTTGTGAGACTAGTGACGAAGAGGTTGTATTGAGCTAAAAAAAAAGTATATCTAGTTTGAATGCATCTAATTTTTATTTGTGGACATAGAAGTGGAAAAGGTCTTGTTAGGTTTTGGGGTTTTTGTGGGAGGACGTGGGCCTGGTATGTGTTCAAATAATGGATAAGAATGTGTAAGTAGAGTGGACCTAGATTGTGTAAGTAGAGTGGAGTCTTTATGTGTCAGATAGAGAAGTATGAATTTTGCTCTCTGTGAAATGGGAAGTTTTTGAAGGCTTTTGAGCAGGAGAGTGGCTTCTATCAGTTTACAAATATCAGCTATCTGCTTTGAGTCTAGCACTGTAAAAGATACAAAAGAAGTATGAGAAATACTCTTATCATAGGATCATGGCTTTAGAGGTCATCTGCTTGATCCTCCCACTCATATGGATGAGGCAACTGAAGACAAAACTTAAGTGACTTGCTGAAGGTCACAGGTGACAGAGACAGGATTGAACTCTGGGTTTTCTGATATCAAATCCAGCATCCTTTCTTTCTTCAGGAGTTTATATTTCACAGTAGCTTCTGTAGATAGCAAATTCTTGGGCCTCTAAAACCATCATAAAAATAGGGGTTTTTGAAAGTTGACGTTATGGCAGTGTGCAAATGTATTGGAGGCAAAGCAAAATACAAGAAGCAAGGAGACCAGTTAATAGGGGGTTTTTTTGGTTTTGTTTTTGCTTTTTTGGTGAGGCAGTTGGGGTTAAGTGACTTGCCCAGGGTCACACAGCTAGTAAGTGTCAAGTGTCTGAGGTCGGATTTGAACTCAGGTCCTCCAGACTCCAGGGCCAGTGCTCTATCCACTGTACCACCTACCTGCCCCTAATACTAAAGTTTTGGTGAGAGTTCCGGGCTGAAACATAAATTTGCCAGAGCTTAGAGTTTGTCTATCTTTTGTCAGTTTCTATCAATACTGCATTAAAATGTTGGGGTGGGGTATGTGCATGGATATTTTTGTTTTTTGTTTTCTTGCTTTTTAAACTAAAGGCAACATTATGTAGCAGTTTTTTCAAGACACAAGGAAGAATGTAGTTTCTTTATTGCAGTCTTAATTTCCAAATGTAGCAGGGACAAATAAACTCATAGTCTTATGACCTAGCAGAGCCCTGATGTACCTCATTTTGCACAACATTCCTGGAAGTTTCTGCCGATCGGTTTTTTGTGAAATCATATTTAAGAACTTGGAGGGGATGGGGGTGGGGGTCATGCTACTAAAAATACTAAAAAGATAATCTTTTGTTATGCCAATGATCAGACTTTTTTTTTTTTGAATTTTCATTGATTGGATTTTCTTAAAGCAAGCACACCTGTATTTTCTTTAGCTTGAGTTGATGTCTTCGGGAGAACTGGAATAGCTGCAGAATATGGGTAGTTCCCCAAGAAGAGTTCTTTACCTATGGCACAAGCATCAAAATAAAGGTGAATTGTTATTAATTAGCTTTCATTAAAAAATAAAAATCGCTGAAATGTAAGTAAAATTTTCACTACTGTGTTTATGTTTGCACATATTTGGAAATTGGCGAGAATTGACAGCATTTTCAGTGCTGTGTTAGAAACTAGCATATTTTGAACTTTTAGATTTACACATGCTATTTTATACAACATAGGCTCCTTTTCAAAGTGATATCTTCTATGCTTAGCCTAAAATATGAGCCCTCAAATACAGGAAATAAAGGAGCAGGAACATTTTTGCCAACATATTTGGCTACATTATAGAATGTCCAAAGTCAAGTCACAATTTTTAAGTGGAATGACATTTAGGGCAAAAAGAACTCTTTGAACATCTGTAAAAAGTAGTAAGTACTTAAGAATATTAACAGGACCTGTGATTTAATTGGCATAGGTAACTCCTTGATGAGCAAACTCACTACCCCTGTAAGTTAACACCTTTTCTACAACTTCCAATCTTAGTGAGTTGCCTAATTTATATTTTCTAAGATTAATCAACACTAGTGTTGCCATGATAAGAAAATTAGTGTTACACAATCCAAATAATCTTGTCCTATAAGGTCACATTAGGTTTAATTTCTCCCAGTCCATGATTATATGCTGAAGAGAATCAGGCCCTAACTGAAGAGAATGAGTATGGATGGGTAAAGATGTATAATTCCTTCAAAGCCCAAATGAGCACTGTCCATAGAGATGGTCATCTTCATATGAATATTGTTTAATCAGATCTGCCAGTTTCTTGAACTGTACCTTTTTTTTCTTCTTGAGGGAAAGAGGTGTTAATCAGTAGAAATAATTTATGAAGTATTCAAAAGAAGCAAAATGTTAACCAACTAATAAAAAAGGTATTACCCAGTAGAATGAGCTGTCTTTGTAACCCAAAGACTAGCATTCAGATACTGGTTCTGCCTTTAATTCTTGCATCCTTCTACAGGTCATTTCACTACTCTGTGTCTCAGTTGGAAAGTGAGGGGTTCAGACTAGGCAGTCTCTATTGCCAGTGCCAACTCACTAAATCCGGTGATGCTATTCACAGGAGGGTCATAAAGAGCCATGTAGTGCTTCAGAAAGAATGCAGGGGGCAGAAAGGTAAAGTGACCTGGGATTCACCTGTCATTGTTCATGTACTTTAGCAAACTTGGATCCATATAGCTCTGCGCTTCATTAAGTAAGCTTTTTTTTTTAAATGTGATTCCTTTTGTTGAGAAGATTCTCGTGTCTAATGATGTCACTTGGTGCCTTAGGAAAAACACTGAGGAAACATGTTTCTTTGTTCTCTTTTTGAGTTCAGGAGCCTGAGCCTTAAAAATGCTTAAGGGAAGGTATGGAAGTGTAACAAGTGGTCGAACTTTTGATATTGTGTAGCTATTAATTATATACACCATTATTTTGGAGATGTTTACTAAACATCTTTGTTTTAAGAACTCACCCTGTTACTACACAATAAATCTCTTGCGTTCTTCCTGATATACTCACTTCATAAATGATCTGTGTTCTAGTGACTTTTCATTAGTAAGGAATTAAGTCAAGTCTTTGCTGTGTGGGAAATTTCAGCATGTACCTTGAGAGAGTACAGGTTTTTACTTTGAAAGATGAGGTACACACATTGTAGTGAATAGTGGGGCCTTTTTTTTTTTTTAGGAACTTGGTGAACATAACACTGACTTGGCCATGTAATGAGGATTTATCATTTCAGTGTGTGCCTTTGTGGTCAGCATACTAAATAAGTCAGTTATATGTGAGAGTGATTGGGGAAGAATTTCTTCAAGGACACATTGAAGCAATGCAACAGTGTCAGTATTTAGAAAATAACAGTAGCAAACATATTGCTGACATGAAATATAGACAGTTACTAATTTGAACAAAAATGTCATCTTAACTAAGTAGAGGATGATTGTGATGGACTCTAGTGTTCAGAAGTAGCTTCCTGTGCCCAGAAAATTACATTGCTACTTGGATTTTATAATACAGAGAAAACTTTTAATTTTGTATAATGCTTTTCAACTACCAGTGGTTTCATCATTTTATTTTCTTCTCATACTCCTATACAGTAGGTAGGGCAGGGAACAAGGATGCCACATTTATCTAGTCATTGGAAGGAAGTATTCAATGAAAATTCCAGATAACTGAAGCTTATTCCTTTTAAAGATATAAAGTTATCTTAAGAACTGTTTTTCTATAATGTATTACATGCATCCTTGCTTTTTTAAACAGAATACCCACGACATTATTTAATCTTTTCTTCATGACTTGGGGTCATCATGGACTTCAGTTATTTAGCTGTGCTTTAACATATTAATGCTTTCAGGGATTAATGAGATGTGGAGAACTGTCTGGCCCTGAACAAAATAGCCTTAGACTGCTGTGCTTGAAAACAAGAGAAAAGTCAAAGGGGCTAGCCTGCTGTTGATAGTTCTTTTGTTTGTTTCCTCGGCTGTCAGCTCTGACTTGCTCTCATGTGGCCTACTATCTTTTTGTCATCAGTGTACTAATAACTCACATGTCACTTTTTAAGGTTTATTCCCCACTGCATATTCTGCCTTATTTTATACACAGTGGGCCAGGTAGTTCTGCTTATTCCATGGGGTGAGAATAAATGGGTTTGTTGGCAGCTATTTCCTACTCAAGAGATCTTTATATGTCATGGTTATGCTTCTAGAGCATTGGGATCAAACTCCAATAGGAATGGGGGCTACTGACCGTACATAAGGGCTGCAGATTGATTTAATTTTTAAATGTAATATCATTTTGTGATATTTTTATTACTTTTGTTAAATATTTCCCAGTTACTTTAATCTGGTTGTGCCACACGAACTCGAGAGTGTTGTCCCTGCTCTAGATAGTTGATGCCCACTCCCAGTAAATAGTCTGTTGCAGTGTTAGCTCCATTTTGCAAATGAAAAAATTGAGGAAAAGAGACTTTACTTTGTGGCTTGCTTAAAGGCACACAGCTAATCAATAGCAGAGGCAGGATTAGCACAGTTTTCCTGAATTACCAGTCCTGTGCCTTTTTTTCTGCACTGCATTACTACCCAGGGTGATTCATGTTAATCAGGAAAAAGATGAAATGTTTAGTGTTTTAGCAGCACATGAAACTTTACTTGGACTACTGTGGTGAACATTTATCATTTTTTTTGGTTTTTGATTGAATTGAAAGCTGAAACCATTTTTAAGCTAATCTAGTAATACATGAAAGTAAAAAACTGAATCACTGTTGCTTTTTTTGTTTAGACATTTTGGATAACATTTTGTATTTTGATTTCTGGTATTAGCTTGACTGTGTTTACTTGTTGACATTCGAAAATTTACTTTGAAAAGTTTTATATATCCAACAATTAGTAAGTAGAAGTACATTAATGAGAGTCATTATTTGTTATGGGTTTAAAAAGTGAAAAGGCTATCTCTTTGAATAATAAAATTAAAAATAGATGACAAGAAAATCTGCTACTTTATTAGAAATTTAGTCATGTGTTCCCAAACCATTATTATTAGCTAGAATAGGTCAAGTAATTTGTTTTTTATAGCTATAACAGAGTATAAATGGATAAATTTAATAAATTTTGTTTGTTTTTGAGGAGGGAGGTTCAGTAATGATGAGTTCATTTCCCCATCTGCTATAATCCTAGATGTTAGACTAACTTTATTATTAGAAATTTTTTCTTATTATTCTGGCTATATATATATTTGCTTATACTGCAGAATTATTGGAAGTAATGACACTTGGTGGACATGCATTATTATTTTGAAAGGAGTTATAAACAGCTGAATAGACAAATAATGGAATCAGACTGGTGGAAACATTTCTTTTTTTGTAGGTATTTGAAAGTGAAGACCTATTGCTGTTCATAAAGAAAGAATGGAATCAGCTCCTTAATGGTTAAAGTAGAGACTGATCCAAATTGTAATAGGATATCACTTTCAGAATGGCATCTTTGTATTTAATTGGTATTTACTGAATGAAAGAAATATGGTATGTGCAGGGCAAAATACAGACTTGAACATTTCCTTTCTTTAGATTTGTCATTCCAGTAAGGGCACCACCAACATATAGGGTACAGGTGAGTGGCTGTAAGAAGAAGCTAGTGAATGTGTAATCAGTTTGCTTTTTTTTTTTTAATTTGGCTGGGTTAATGGTACTTCTAGGGAGATGTTATATAAATGACTAAAATTTATAGTGTAAGAATGGAAAAATATCGACTGAGATGATTATTGGCAAATAGGAAATCAATCTATTAACTGACACCTTTATCCCTAATAAATTATAATTTTTGCTTTGTTCTATTTTCCCTCCTCAGAACCTTTCAGGTGAAGTTGTGATTTTCTTTTTTAATTTGAGTAGAAGCAATTTATTTTTTAAAAGTATGACTCCTTTGAAGATACATGGTCCTATCCGAGTACGGAGCATTCAGACGGGGATTACAAAATGGAAAGAAGGGTCCTTTGAAATTGTGGAGAAAGAAAATAAAGTCAGCCTAGTGGTTCACTATAATGCTGGAGGAATTCCAAGGACATTTCAGGTATTCCCTTTTCAGGTTTGGGGTAGATTAATTAGTGTCCTTTAGTAAACAGTAGTTCTATGCCAGACTTAAGTTTCACGTCAACTCCCTTGCTAGACTATTTGTTGTTTCTTATTTCCAGTACACTAATCCTTTTGTATAAATGCATTATAAATTATTCAGGAGCATTGTTGGGTGGCCTGCAAAAGCAGACAGTAAGTACCTTTATTTAAGGAGAAAATGGGGCTTGAAGTCTATATCCAAGCTATTTTCTGGGTTTTTTAAAAGTTAGGACAATGTTTTAGAACTTTTTCTTTGTTTTTAAAATATATGTTGGAAACCAAAACATTTTAGGCTTAGTCATTAAAAAAAGACAAACATAAAATCCATTTTTTTACAGTTCTGCTAAAGGCAGAATATTTCACCTGTAAGGGTTATCATTTCTACTTATAATTTTTAAAACATGTATGCATACTTTTAACGTGTTTTAGAAATTCATTGCATGCATGTTGTTTGTAGTTTTGTGGTGTTAGAAGCTTTGTGTATCAGAGGGTCACTAATCTGGGTGAGTTAATTTTATAATCATGTTACGTGTAGAATGTTTCACATTTAAGTCATTTAATCTCAGTATATACCACCATGTTCATACCATGCAGAAGTATAGGCTTCATTCCACATATAAATGTGTGAACATGATGTTCTGGGTAGAGGGCCACCTTTATGTGTGTTTTGAGGATATGGGGGAGGGTAATACAGCTTTATGTTTGAGAACTCGATGCAAAATTCCTTTGATCATATTTAGACAAAAGTGCTATCTTTCTAAAAAAAAAGTACCCTTGAACTAACATAAGTCCTTCTCCCATATTACACTCATGAAGCAATGGGGAAAGAGTTGGTGGTGGTAACATAAGAAGGGGAATTAACAGCAGCTGATGCTTCCATACACATTGCATTGACCATCTCATAACAAAAAAAATTAAGTTTAGATTTGTGTCTGACCTCCCTGTAGGCTGGTACTCTGAGATTTCATTTTTTGACTTTGGTCCTTAGGAACTATCTGAGCCAACTGAGGCTGTAGCCTCAGTTACTTTCCAGTCCCAGTGAAAGAACAAGTCTAGAAGTAACTTGGTGAGAAATTATTTAGGCTTTCGACAGTTTTGTTCTGTACATCAGGAGGGCTCTATTATATACACATATGGTCTTTTAATGTTATGGTTTCTGAGAGAACTAGAATTTTAGTTTCTTGGCTTGTGTGCATTCTAAAAGAGCTCTTAATATTTTTTCCCTTGAATTTAATGCTTTGGTCTAAAAGGCAGTGATAGGCTATTCACTAGATTAATATGTTATAAGTACTTTTTTTCTTTTCAGTCCCAGGCCTACTTTCTTAATACTTCCAATTCTTAATTATTTTTCTAAGTCAAGTTGCTTTGTATATAGCAAATACATTGTTCTGATTAGGGTCATAAATTTGGACTTGCTCTGAAGTTTTAAACAAGAATAAAATTTTATGTAAAAAAGAGTCACTTGAGAAATGAATTAACTTGTGTGTGTGTGTGTGTGTATTCATGCTTACCTAAAAACTGACAAAAACCAGTTGGACCACACTTTTTTAAAAAATGAGATTATCTTTTATTTCTTCGGTGATAACTCTAGGCATAAAGTTAAGTGGCACAGGGAGTTATATTGTAAGCAGAAGGAAATATTGAATGAATATTTGTGGGGCTTAAGGTGGGGAGAAGTTCAGGCTAGGACACTTGAAGCTGTGGGAAGAATTAACCTTATCCTGTAGAAGTAACTAAGAGGAAACAGGAGTTACTATTCTTTTTTAAGATCATCAAAAAAATCAAATCCAGAGCCACAAGATTTGGTTTTACTGAGGAAAAATAAGATGAGTCCTAAAAATTATGTGTTCTAGAATGCTTTGGAGTCTTACCTGTGACCAAGAGTTAAGGGGGAAACCCAACAGAAACTGGGTTAGTTAACATCCATTGTAAGAGACAACTTAGGAATAGGCATAGAGACTGGGCCTCTAATTTCATAAGGTAGAGGGAATTCTCATAAGGAAACTCCCTCTGCCAGTGCAGGTCTCTATGTAGTCTTAGAGAATACCTACAACCCTGAAAATCTAGTTGTCACCCAGACAGTTCATATCACAGGCAGGGCTTGAACCCAGGTCTTCTGGCTTTAAGGCCAGTTTTCTGTGCACTATATTGTGCTGTCTTTTTCCATGGTCAACTTAGGCAATAAAAATGACACATTTTGTATATTCATAAAAATTTGGGGACTTTAGGGGTGGTGGTTGGAAATTTGTGGACATCATAGTTTGGTAGGAGACTGTCCTTTTATGCCATTTCTGATTAAGACTTGCTATTTAAAATCTTTTGTTTGGAAGAAATTAGCATAACCAGATGTATTCATTGGGAGATGCATATATTGTTGCCCCTTCTACCTCTTTGCAGGTATTTATGGATTAATGACTGGCAATTAATGACAGTGTTATTCCATCAGATCTTGAAGAGTCAGTGCACTAATTTTCATTCAGTTTTGTTATATTGTCCATGTTTCTGAAAATATGGAGCTACTAGCCTTAACAGTAACTCAGATTTGGCAACAGTGTAAAATATTTTTAAAGAAGCTTTTATTACCATTTTCATAATTATTATTTTCAGAAAAAGTGTTGATTTTATTGCAACAAGAAATGGAGAATAAAATTTTCTTTATAATAGGGAAAACTAGGTTTGCCATGATGAAGGGAGGAAATAGTTATGAAGATAGTATACTTTAACTAGTTCTTCATTGACAATTTCACATTGATAATAATAAGATCATTTCCCTTTCCCATTCAGCTAAGTCACAATATAAAGAATGTGGTTCTTCGACCTAATGGAGCAAAACAAAGTCGCCTGATTCTTACCCTGCAGGATAACAGCTATTTGTCCATTGACAAAGTACCATGTAAGGATGCAGATGAAATGAGACTGTTTCTGGATGCAGTCCATCAAAACAGACTTCATACAGGTGAGCACTAATCATCCCAAATGGTGGGGCTGGTTGGTGCAAAAAATAGTTGAATGGGAAGAAAATGGATATTTAAATGTGTGGAAAATGTATTGATGTTGGTTCATCTAACAGGAAAAAATCGGTGTAGGTCAAGAGATCCAACTAAGACATTGTTTCTCCTAAAATACAAAGTAATTGTGGTACTCAAGGAGTTCCACTGGAAAGTGTCTTATTTGGCACATGGTTTGACACTGATGATAAAACCTGCTACAGCTTAAAAGACCAAAAAAAAAAAGTTAATAAATTGGAAGCTGGCATTACAAAAAAAAAAAAAAGATGTAAAAAGGGAACTCTTCATTTCTTAACAAACATATGTGAGAATTCCCCCTGCTTACATACTGGTTGTGTTTCACAAATTCACTTTTCAAGTTGCTTGTTGAAGTTACTGTAATCTTTTCTCACAGAAACAGTGTCATAAATTGTGGAAAGGTTCCAATATTGACTCACAAGCCAATTTAAGTTATAATATACTTGGATTTGAGTACTAACACAAGCATACACTGTTACTTTTCAGCTCATTGCTGATTCATTACAGATTCTTGTGGAGCAAACTGCCCTGTCTATAACTTCATTTTGCCCGAGAGCATATTTTCAGTTAGGTGAGGTATGTCCATGGTATTATCTTGACTTCTGCATCCTGGGCAGGAGGCTGTGTCTTGTCAAGTGGGAGAGGAAGAAAGATAAGTTCAGTGCTCTGTTCACCACACTGTGCTACCTCTTCTTAACTGAAATTACTATCTAGATTCTGATTCCTCAAATGGATAGCTAGGGTTAGGTTTTAGGGAAGTAGGATCTTCCTTATGTGTATTCTCTGGCTTTTATCTGAGTTTCCTTGATTAAGATATAATTATATTGTATTTATATAGCACCTATTTCAAAAAACTTCGTATCAAAAATATTTATCATTAAACATTTTGGCTATCTTTTTTCCTTTTGCTTTTCCTTCCCTTCTTTACCCAAATATATAAAAATACTAGTAATCATCTCTTTGTAAAAGTTAGTGATTTGGGGGTATGCCTTTGTCATTAGCCATGAAACCTTCCCAGGGGTCTGGTAGCTTTGGCGGAGTTCTCGGGAGCAGGACTACACAGAAGGAAGTCAACAGGCAGTTCTCTTACATAGAAAATCAGGTATGTTAAACTGTATTTTAAAGTATTGAAATCTGATTATTAAAAACTGAGGGTGTGTCATTTCTCAGTGTTTTTGAGGGTAGTTGAAGGAGATATCATTTCTATAGTAATGCCCTATTTATCATAAATCTCCTTTTATTGTGGCCATTTTATATATAACATTTTAAAATTTTACCACACATTTCACTGCCTAAATAAGCAGAGCATAAAATGAGCATTTTCTTAATGAGTCGGCATCATTATGATTATTCCTTAGTGTACTCTGTTTTAATACGATAATGCTTTCAAAGTTATTTAGTCATGTAGAACTGCTTTACACCAAATATTGTCAGATTATTTTATATTTAATATTTGTCTCTCTTCTGGCTGACAGACTATCATCTCTCCCTTCTTGCTGATGTATCAGTATGCGTTCCTTTAGCAGCCTCCATCCTCCCTTCTAATTTGTCATCACCAGTCTGCTGTGGACTGAGAAACCAGACCACAGAGCTTATTAAAAGTTAAAGCAAACAAGTTCTGAATGAGTGCCTAAGAGGCTTTCCTACAAATATAAAGCACATTGGTTTATTTTGGATTTGCAGATATTTTTTGCTTACTCTCTGGTATTTCCCCTTGCTCACCACCTGTGTTGAAGGTAGTGGAGGTGATTTGATGAGTGACCTCCATAAAAGTAAGATACTCTGTAATAAAAACTGTTGGTAGTTTATGTTGTCCTATATATAGTTTAGCTACTTAATCTATTATTGGAAATTTGGTAGTCTTTGTTAATATTAAATATAGATATGGATATTAATCAGATAATTTCATTATCTTAATGTAGTCACAAGGTAATTTGAGAATATAGTTTTTCACAGAAGATAGGAAATTGTTCTTCATGGAGAGGTCTCACACTTAGTGCTTGAAAAGAGTATCTCTTCTAGTTGTTTCCCCAACCACTGTGTTATGCCAGTCAGTTTTTCTTTGGTTATTTCAATTCTGGCTTCTCCTGTATAGATCACTGGTGCCACTTCTGCCAGTGTGCCCTGTGCTCTTCACCCATTTTCCCTGGTGAATGTCTCCTTTCTTTTTCTCTTCCAAATCAGAATTCTATTTGAAGCTTACCTCAGGCATTATTGGATTCTTTGTCAACTAAATTGGTCAGCACCACTCTTTTCTCTAATCTTTATTGGTCTCCTTTTTCGTTCTCTTGGTCAAATGTATTTTTTCAAAGGCCTACTTCTTTATCCTCTTCATCCACAACATTCCATATGTCTGCTTTGGTTAGTGAGTGTCAGGATTCTTTCTTTTATCCCTCATATGTGTCTTGGAAATTTAGAAATTTATAAGCATATTGAAGAAAAAGAATTGCAAACTTGGACTTTAATCATCTTTGATATAATTTTATTGCTTTCATTTGGAGGCATACCTATTTAACATGAATTACTTTTTTTTTCTTTTAGACTTCTTCAAAAAAAGCAAGTTTGGAGTCCAAAGATGATACTACATTTCGAAAAGTTCTTGGTAATCCAGGCAGAGTACCCACGAAGACCCCAACAGGAAATGTAATGACTGGGAGCCGCATAAATACCCCTCTGACTTCTACTCCATCAACACCTTTAAGAACAGGATTATTAGAAAATCGGTATGAAGGCTATTTCAATCGGCAATTAGTTATCAATTGCATATATTTACAAACATTTTTCCATTCTATTTTAAAAGACTGTCTTTTTTTTTTTGAGGCAGTTGGGGGTTAAGTGACTTGCCCAGGGTCACACAGCTAGTGTCAAGTGTCTGAGGCTGAATTTGAACTCAAGTCCTCCTGACTCCAGGCCTCTATCTACTGCACCACCTAGCTGCCCCTTTAAAAGACTATCTTAATTGTTCCAAAGTTGACATAATCTTCTAGTAAGACTAATGTTTTGAGAAGGATATTGAAAGCTAGGAAAAAGTTCAGTATGTACATGGAGCTATTGCAGTATATTTAGAGATAATAACATAGAAAGTTTATTTTTGGTAAGCAGTTAGAAATTTTTGCCCTGGGTTGCATAACAGATTTTTAGTCAGCATCTATTTAGTATGTATATACAAAGCAGAGAATTAGGTATTGTTGACAATAAAGGTGACTTCTTAAAAGCTGTTTTGAGAAAAAATAGTTAAAGCCTAGGACTGCTGCTTGGGGTATAAAGGATGATAGGAGGCAGAAATACTTAATTCTTTATTTTCTCTGCTGAGGAGGATGATCTTTGGACTGTAAAGTACAGAAGAAAAATATTTTAATAAAGAACCAAAACTCAAGACAAGTGAAGTTATAATGAGAGTACATAGCTGTCCTAGATGAATTCAAGTTACCAGACCTTAATGAACCACATCCTAGGGCTATGAAATAACTGATTAGAGTGTTTGCTGAACCACTGTCGTCAATTCCTGAAAGATCATGAAGAATGGGAGAAGTGCTGTAGGACTTAAAAAGAGCAAATGTCTTGTTTTATTTTTTAAAAGAAGATAGTAGAGTCTCCAAACTAGAGACCAGTAAGTTTGATTTCAGTTTCTAGCAAACTTCTGGAGGTGTGAACATCTAGAAAGGGAAACAGCAGATTGGTAATACCAAGGTAACTTGTTTCCTTTTCTTCCCCCCTACTAGATTAGTAGACCCAGGGAATATAAAACATAGTTTGCCTAGATTTTAACACAGCATCTGACAAAATCCCATGCTGTTCTTGTGGACAAGATATAATAATAATATGGGCTTAATAATAGTGTAATCTTGTAGATTTGAAACTAGTTGAATAACTGGATCCAGAGAGTAGTAACTAATGAGTGAAAGTCAATTTTGATGGTAGGTCTCTTTTGGAGCACTCTGGGGACCTGTTGTTGGCCCTGTGACGTTTAACATTTTTATCATGACTTCAATGAAGGCAGAGATGGCATTTGCTGATCACACTTGCCAATGACAGAAAGCTGGAGTAGGCAACACATTGGATCATAGTGTTAGGATCCAAATAGATCTGTACAGGCAGGAATGGTAGTCTGAATCTAAGAGGGAACTTAATAGAGGTAAGTATAAAATCTTATACTTGGTTTAAAAAAAAAAGACTACCCACCAGCTTCACAAGTACTGGGTCACCAATTTGTGGCTAGCTGGCTAGTGGTCACATGAAAAAAATACAGACATTTTAATGACCTGCACGTTCAGTGTGAGTCCATTGTATGATTTGGCAGCCAAAAAAGATAACACGATCAGACGCTCTTTTAAGATACACTTAGTATCCAAAGTATGGGAAGTAATGGTTATGCTGTAGTCTGGCTTAAATAGAACACATACTGAGTATTTTGTTCAGATCCTGTTACCATATTTCAGAGTGCCCTTAACAAGCTGGAGAGCCTTCAGAGGAGGCAGCCAAGAAGGTGAGCCTAGGCACCATTCCACATGAACATTGTATGAAAGAACCAAGTACTTTTGACTTGGAGAAAACCAGGAAGTCATGTTAGCTATCTTTAAATATTCCAATGGTTATCCTATAGAGCAGGGATTGGGCTTGTTCTACTGATGCTCAGAGGACAAACCTAGGAGCCGAGGGTAGTTTAACATCAGTTAACAGAAGTACAAGGGGCTGCATTATATAAAAGAACTCCAGGGCTTTGGACAAAGGCTGGCTAACCTGGAGCTGGAGTGGCCTAGAGGCAATTCTGGGATAGGCTGAGCTTGATGACCTCTGGGATCTCTTCCAACTCTGAGAGACTGAATGAATGGCAAATGTCATGATCATAGGTACCATCCTTGAGGCCATTAGGAATTATAATTTTAATGGTGTAGATAAAACATTAATGTCTTGATATTTAGAATATCTATTCTCTGTATTCTGTAGGAATGAAAAGAGAAAAAGATTGCTATCGACAGGGTCAGAGATGAATGAAGATTACCCTAAGGAAAATGATTCATCATCGTAAGTTACCACAGAACCCTTTGTGGTATTGCATTAGTGTTTCTTACCCTGATAGTTGGATCCACCAGGGAATACAGTACAGATAGTTAGAGAACTGAATAGGTATTAAATGATGGTATTAAACTGTGTGCTGTCTGAAAAGAATGATGTGACAGCTGTTGCCCTCTTGTTTTGCCAGTGCTTATTATTTGTAGTGCCAGGAGGGAGAGAATGAGCACAGGGCTAATGGAATAGAGAGAACACTGGATTTGGAACTGGAGTACCAGACTTCACATCTAGGATCTACTGATAATTCTCTATGTTCACTTTGGTCAAGTCACTTGACCTCTATCAGGGCCTCAGTTTCCTTAACTGTAAAATAGGAAGTTGGATAAGGATCTTTCTTTTGGTGCTATTACCTTTGAACAGATTTTTAGTAGCATTTGTTCTTTTGGAATTAACTGTTTTAATTGTTATCATTAATAAGAAAAGAAGAAAAGAGAGATAGGAAGATGGAATATTATCATTTAACCTCTGAAAATTATGGTGCCATTTAGTAGGATTTTAGGCAGAATTCAATAAACTTTCACAAATGGTATCAATCAACAAGCATTAAGAACCTATTATATACCAGACACTGGGGATACAAGTATAAAGAAAAATAATCCCTATTCAAAGAAAGCTTACATTCTATTTGAGGGGACAAGGTAACTTGAGAGGGAGATTAGTGTCATTTGGGAAGAGGGGATCAGGACAGGCTCTGTGGGGCTTAAGTAGCATCTTGAAAGAAGAGGGGTAATTTTGTGAGACAGAAGTAAAGAAGTGGTGAATTCTGGGCATAAGAGATGGAGTGCTGTGGGTAAGGTAGAAACAGAAGGCCAGTTTGGCTGGATCAGAGTGGACAGGAGTAGAAGTGATGTCTGATGAGACTAGAAAGATAGCTTGGGGGGTGTTAAGGTTTTTAAAAACTAGACAGGGATTTATATTTTATCCTAGAGGCAATAAGGAGTTGGTTAAATAGGGGAGTGACATTGTCAGATCTTAAGAAAGTCACTTTGGCAGCAGTATGTAGGATCGGCTGTAGTGAGGAGTGACTTGAGGCAGGGAAACCATTCAGACTATTGAAATAATCTAGGTGAGGTGGAGGTGATGAGGAACCGTACTAAGTTGGGGCTGATGGGAATAGATAAAAGGAGTCTTATATGAGAACCTTGCTGTTTAGTCTTTTCAGTTGTGTCCAACTCCTTGTGACCCCATTTGGGGTTTTCTTGGCAAAGATACTGGAGTGGTTTGCCATTTCCTTCTCCTGCTCATTTTACAGATGAGTAAACTGAGTCATACAGGGTTAAGTGACTTGCCCAGGGTCACACAGCTAGTGAGTGTCTGAGGTCAGATTTGAACTCAGAAAGATGAGTCTTCCTGACCCCAGGCCCAGTGCTCTATCCACTGTGCCACCTAGCTGCCATTCAACAATTTAGCAGTGATGACAATGGTGACAAAAGATGGGAATGTCAAATGTTGGAGGGCTTATGGAAAGACAGGCACACTAATACATTGTTAATACATTTGCAAATTGATCTAGTCATTCTGGAAAACAGTTTGAAATTATGCTTACAAATGTTCATACCCACTGAAGCAATTTCCCCAAGGAGATCAAAGATAGAAAGAAGGGTCTCACATAATAAAGGTCCCTAATCATTTCTTTACACCCCCACATAGCATCTTCTCTTGTAATGAAGTAAAACAAGCAGAACAAATTACCACAGCAGTTCTAGCATTCTGGACCATCCTTTGGTTTTGTTTTTGTGAGGCAGTCGGGGTTAAGTGACTCACCCAGGGTCACACAGCTAGCAAGTGTCAAGTGTCTGAGGTTGGATTTGAGCTCAGGTCCTCCTGACTTCAGGGCCAGTGCTATATCCACTGTGCCACCTAGCTGCCCCCTAACATTCTGTACCGACAGTTCCCTGCCTCTCTACCCAGAAGAGGAAAGTATGTCTTATCATCAGTCTTCGAGAATTAAGCTGGATGAACTGGCAGATTGTGAGACAACTGTCACTAATCACGTGGGAAAATATTTAAAGAAATGAAAGTTGAAACAACTTGAGTTTTACCTGATTCTTCTCAGATGAACTAAGATATTTAAAAATGCTGACTTGGCATCTGTGGTTAAAAAAAAAAGTGTTGCTGATAGAATTGTTGGTTAGTCCAAATTATTTTGTAAAGCAGTATGGAAATATATGAGTTGCAAAAAATATTTCGTTTGATCCAGTGGCCTCATTATATGGCTACTGATATAAAAAAAGGCTTATCTACATAAAAGTACTCCAGCAACACTTTGTTTTTTCATTTATTCACGAATAAATGATTCATTTGTTTTTTAAAGGTACATTAAAAACTTTTAATTATCAAGCATTTTTTTCCCCACTTCTGGAAAAAAACACGAAAACTCCTACATCAAATAAGCAAAGTAGAGGGAAACAAACTTTTATGTTGGTTATTTTCAGAAATGTGTTTCTCATCTTGCTTAGTCTGTCACCCCTGTCGTGACATCGTTGGTCCCCTGGAATCGTGGTTGATTGTTGTGTTGATCAGAATTCTTAAGTCTTTCAGAATGCTTAATTTATTACAGTATTGTTATTATAGTATGAATTGTTCTGGTTTGCTCATAGCATCACTATTTGTAATAACAAATTAGAAATAACCTAACTAGTTTTTCAGTGATTGGAAAAATGTTTGAGTGTGTTATGGTATATGAGTATAATGGAATGTTATTGCACCATAAGAACCAATGACCATGAAGAATTCAGAAAAATAAGTAAAAATATATGAAGTGATACAGAATGAGGAATGCAGAACCAAAAGAACAATATATACTTTGATTACAATTGTGTAGTTAAAGACAGTAACAGGAAAAAATCCAGATTAACTACATAGGAAAGATGAAGGAAACAAAGACAATTTAAGTTTAAAAAATATTAAAGTACTGAGCATAAACAGTTGTCTCCCTCCAACTTTGCACATGCCATCTTAAAGTAATCATTTCGCCTGGACTTATTTTTTGCAAAGAATAATCTCATATAAGGGATATGGTATTTCTTTCCTTCATAATGGCTGGAGAAGGGATGGAGGGAGGGAGAGATTTTGGAACTGAAAAGAAAAATAAAATCAAAACAAAGTATACTTTTTTAGCTTTTTGCCATCACCATGAATTGGCATTTGTATAAGTGATGTGTTCTTCCTAGTTTTTATTTAATCATTATAGTCTTGTATTGACTTTTGACTTGTTAAGGAAAGGGGGTTGTTTTTAACTGTTTTTAACAGTTCTCATTTGGTGACTTGTATAGACCAACAAGGTTACTGTCTAACCTCAGTATCTCCATGTGCAAGATGAAGGAGTTGATCTAGTTGATCTCATAGACTCCTTCCTGCACTAAACCCCATGCTCAAAGCACTTCACTGACCATACTATTTGAAATAAACTGTCAAATACTTAAAAAGATAAATAAATTTTTGCATGCCAGTAATATTTGATGTAAACTTATTATGCCTAGGAACAATAAAGCTATGACAGATCCTTCAAGGAAGTATTTAAACAGCAGTAGAGAGAAACAGCTAAGCTTGAAACAGGCAGAGGAGAATAGAACATCAGGTAAGTAGTCTTTAGATAAGATAGTAACTTCTTTATATAAAGTATTTTTGAAAACATGAATCCATTAATGTCAGTTTAGTTAAACATTAGCTTCATTTGTTCAATAAACATTAAGTGCATAATATGTGCAGGATACTGTAATAGATATTGAAAGAATTATAAAATTATATAAAACACAGTGCCTAGAGCTTTCAGTTTATTTATCAAATATTCATTGGATGCTTTTAATGTGCTCAACACTGAGGAATAGAGGAGAGATATTTCTTGCCCTGGTGGAACTTTGATTATCTAGTTTGTATGTTATTCAGGTCCCAACTTCTCTGTTTCTCTAAAATTAAACTTTTTTACTATAATGAGTGTCTCTATTTTAGGATTAGCTAGAGAAATAAAAAGAATGAAACTTAATCCCATTAGTTTTGTCTGTTGCAAAGTAGTTCTGTTAAATTAAAAAGCTGACTAGGAAAGATATTAGTGCTACTCACTCACATTAAATCTGTGGATTCTTTATGACTTTCAGTTGTTCACATTTTTCCCAGTGCCCATTGCTATAATACTTTGAAAAGTGTCTTGAGATCAGCTTTGCTAATGTAGGTTTTTTTCTTTGTTTTTTGTTTCTTTTTTAGTTATTCAAGACTTAGGCCAAAAATTTTTTTTATCAGCTTTTTTCGTGCTTTACCATTGTTTCATCTGGTGAAATATTAACGTATACAATTGCTGTTTAAGGCAAGCACATTGCTTGAGCAATTATGTTAGCTTATAGCTTTCCAGTATGAACTAGCGATTTCAGAATTAATTTTCCCTATTTGGTACCTTTTTACAGGACTTTTGCCCCTACAATCATCGTCCTTTTATGGTAGTAGAGCAGTATCAAAAGATTACTCTACTGGAAATTCAAACCTAGACAGGTATGTATTAATCTTACGTTTGTCCTACAAATAACTTGGAAACTATTTGTTTACTCAAGAAGTTAATCCTTGGATTTTACTATGTATTGGACATGTGTTCTGTGAAAATAAGCAGTTGTAATAATTTCTTAAAACAATGAAATTGATAATAGGATCATAGAGTCAGAATTTTTGTTGTTGGAAAGTACCTTAGAGACCAGCTGGTATGCCTTTCATTTTACAAAAGAGGAATCTGAAATTCAGAGAAGCGTGATGATTTTTCCAAAGCCACATAACTATGTGGTTAGGGACAGAACTGGGATTATCACTCAGTTCTCCTGACTCCCATGATAGTGCTTTTTCACACTGTACTATGATGCCTCAAAACTGTTAATACAAAAAGAATAGCCCTTTAAAGTCAAGTTGAGTTGACTAAAGTTGCAATTTTGAGCCACATTTTAAGAGAATCTAATTAAAATACCAAAAATCCTTGATGAAATCATAGGGAAATAAGGTATGTATCTGGAATGACCAGCAAGGAAGAACGATTACTTGAGAGGAATTTGAAGCAGAATTGATATGTACAAATACTCTATATTCCTAATCAAAGTCCCTGAGCATCATCATAGATAGTATTAATGGCTTGAGTAGTTTTCTATTGCTTTGGACATTTTTTAACCTAAATGTTTAGTGTCAAATCAACATTTTTATTTCAAAAGTAGAAAAGTATCATTACTCATTTCACAAGTCTGGCCTAGAAACCATTTGAGATTTGTCTTATATTTACATTTGGCAAACGAGTTAGGCTTTCCTGAAGTATTTTTTGCTAAACTAAAATATGTTTTATTTGGTGAAACTGGTATATTTTATTAGAATGCATTTGAACTCTTGTCCATCAACTAACCTGATCTGTGCTAATTGATGGAACTTTGTCAGGTGACTAGGATTTCTGTGAATATGTTTCATTTTAGGCAATTTTGTGTTGGTTTTTTTTTTTAATACTAATCCTTGACTTTTGCCAAAATTGCTTGGGGAAAATAGAACATTTTTTAAAGAGTTAAGGCCTGTTTATTATTTATGCTTTTCTTTAGGACAAGTGTTTCAAGCCAGACTCCCTCTGCCAAAAGGAGTTTGGGGTTTCTTTCTCAGCCAGCCCCTCTCTCTGTAAAAAAACTAAGGTCTAACCAGGATTATACTGGATGGAATAAACCAAGAGTGCCCCTTTCTACTCATTCACAGCAACAGTTACAAGGGTAGGTGACTAATTTTCTCACTTCCTGTTCTTTATTGAGTCAGCTGAAGGGAGTATATACTTATTAGCGTAAAGAAACAGTACCATTTGGGGGGAAATCAGATGTATTTTAATGAAAGCTTTAAACATTTAGGCACTACCCACAAAATCTGTAATAGTAGTGCTGACTTTCTTTTGTAGTGTGTATCTCAATTCCTTAGCCACAGTAGGTGCTTAATAAATGCTTATTAACTTGTAGCTGCTGGTGCCACTGGGTTCATCCTTTGAATATGTGCAGTCTCTTTCCTTGCAGCAATCTCTAAAGTGTTGTCTTCAAGTTGTGATTTGCCCAAACTCATATGGCTGAGAAAGTTTTGGATCTCTAGGTCTTCTGACTCAAGTCCAATGTTCTAATCTCAGTATAGGGAGAGAGCTTCCTCTTATTTCCTGGATCTACAAAATTAGGAAGGAAAACTCAGCTAGTATTTCAGTGAATCTATATAGCAGGAACCCTTTCACAGTTTTCAAGTGATATTTCTGTTTCTTATTTTTCAGCTTTTCAAATTTGGGAAATACATGCTATATGAATGCCATTTTACAGTCCCTATTTTCACTTCAGTCATTTGCTAATGATTTGCTTAAGCAAGGTATCCCATGGAAAAAAATACCACTTAATGCACTTATCAGGTAACTATTATTCTTAGGTAAAACATTCTTACTCTTTTTTTAAAGTACTGTTATGCTTTCTATCCTTTATTTTTTTTCCCCTGCATACTAATAGGTTTTTTTTTTGGGGGGGGAACTTTGTGCTTCAGAGAAGCATAATGTATTTGATATTTCTTAGAGGCTTTGTGTGTGACTGTTAAAATGTCTAATATGCAAAATTCTTCTATTCTTTTGTAAACTAATGGCAAGAATTTAGATAGGGAATGGTCATTTTCACCCAACTTAGAAGAACATTTTCTTTTCACCATGATTGATTTTACTTTAATTTGAAAATCTTTTTAAAAAAGTAATTTCCTAGTAGAGAATTTTGTAACTTGGCTTAATAATAGATTTTCTGAGGTAATAAGCCAGTACCTTTGGCATTCATTTTCAAATATAAGCTAACTGAATTTAGCCAATGAGAAGGACGTAGAATACAGGGAGGGTTGAATCCAAAAGTGGATTTAGGATGGCAGAGAGATAGGAAGCAATGCATTGACCTCTTCTGTAGGAACTTCTAATAAATCTAGAAAATGCAGCAGACCAAAACCTTATGAGGAAATCTAGAAAAAGTCACAATGAATCCTTTGTCCAGCCTGCTTAGGAGACAGGGAAGTCTGTGGACACTGAAGTTGGGGTTGAGCAAGAAACTCACTGCACAGAGCACTCCATCATCTAGGAGAGGCTCTGAAACAGGGTAAGAGGAAGTCTCAGACTCACACTGGGGTACTGGAATGAGGATGGGTGCCTACTGGTACCTTTGTTGCTACCCAATCTAATGTCAAAGATCCAGGAAGAAATGCAAAGGGGACTTGCACAAGTAAGTGACTTTCTGGATAAGAAGGCCTTGGGTAATATTCAGAGAAAAGAGGAAGTTCAGAAGCCAGAGCAGCATTGGTGTGACTCAGACTTCAGGTGCAAATCTGGGTCTCACTTCAGCATCTAACCAAGCTTGCAGAAGAATTGAGCAGGAATCCAGAACCATAAGGGAGCTTACAATTTTGCCACTTCAAACCAACAGAGCTTTCCAGCTGGCTAATGGAGTAGAGTTGAGAAGAACTTTTCTCTTCCTCAGTCCCTAACCCGGGTCAGGAACTGAATAACTCAGACCAGGAGGACAACAGATCTGACTATTTAGGAGCACTGAAAGCTTGCAGATGCCTAGCCTGCCTCTGAGGTCCTGGAAAAACACAACACTTAAGACTTTAAGAAAGCAGCAACAGGACCAGTCCAGACCTTCCCTCTATAGAAGTGCTGCAGAGTCCAGCCCCAACAACAAGTCCCTGGAAGAATGGGTATACAAAAAAAAGAGCCCCACCATAATGAGCTGTTATGGTGGCATGGACCACCATATTGTATCTTGTATTCAAGATAGAAATGCAGAAGAGAATGACACCAAAACATCTAGCATTGCCTCAGAGGAAAATAGAGCTTGAGCATAAACTCAATTAGAATTTCTGCAAGAAATTAGGCAAGAGTCTTTTTTATTTATTTGTTTATTTGTTTATTTTTTGTTTGTTTCAGGCAATGGGGTTAAGTGACTTGCCCAGGGTCACACAGCTAGTAAGTGTTATGTTTCTGAGGCCGGATTTGAACTCAGGTCCTCCTGAATCCAGGGCTGGTGCTCTATCCACTGTGCCACCTAGCTGCCCCACAAGAGTTTTGAAAAATAGTTTAAAACGTTTTTATAAATAGAATGTGAGCATTTGAGGAAAATTTTCAAAAAGAAGTAGGAGCTGTTGAAGAAAGAATTGGAGGGCAGCTGGGTGGCACAGTGGATAGAGCACTGGCCCTGGAGTCAGGAAGACTTGAGTTCAAATGTGGCCTCAGACACGTAACACTCACTAACTGTGTGACTCCGGGCAAGCTACTTAACCCCAATTGCCTTACATTTAAAAAAAAAAGGATTGGGAAGGAAATTAATAGTCTGACACAAGAGGTACAAAAACCCTTGCCCGAGCAACAAACTCCCTAAAAATTCAAATGGACCAATTAGAAGCCAGTGACTCTATGAGTCAACAAGAAAATTATAACAAGACTGAAGAAAAGAAAAGGTATCTCATAGCAAAAACAACTGACCCAGAAAGCAGATTGAGGAAAAAAAATTTAAGAATCTTTAGACCATCTAAATGCCAACACGGAAAAACCTAGACACCGTAATGCAAAAAAATCTTAAAAAAAAAAAAGCCAAACCTGCTCACATCTCTTAGAAGCAGAGAGCAAAGTGGAAATAGAAAGAATCCATCATAATCTGGGAAAAATCCCCAAATGAAAACTCCCAGGAATATCATTACCAAAATCCTAAGCTTCCAGGTCAAAGAAAAAGTATTGTGAGCAACCAGAAAAAAAAGAATTCAGGTGCTGAGGAGTGACAGTCAGGATCACTCATGATTTAGCAGCCACTACTTTAAAGGAGTGGAGAACTTGGAATATAGTATTCTAAAAGGCAAAGAACATATGGGCTTATAGCCAAGAGCCAAGAATAACTTACTCAGTAAAACGAGTATAATGCCACAGAAGAAAAAATGAACTTTTAATGAAACAGAATTTAAGGTATTCCTGATGAAAAAACCAGAGCTGCAGAGAAACTCTGAATTTCAAACACAGGAGTGAAGAGAAACATAAAAAGGTAAACATGAATGAACAATGATAAGGAACAAACAAGGTAAATTGTTTACATTTAAATATGGGGAGATGATTCATGGGTACTTTCGGTACCCTGTCATCAGGGTTCATAGTAGGAGTCTGATTAGGCAGGTTGTTGGAGTGGTTCTGTTAAGTCTTAATGATCTTAAGAACAGAATGAAAAAAGGGGGGAAAATACATGGGGATAGGAAAGGAAGACTAGGGAAAATTATCTCATTAATGAGGGTTCACAAGTAGACAGCTATACAACAATGAAGAGAGGGTTGGGGGGGAGCAGCTGACATCACTCATTTAAACTGGATAAAAGAAGGAAGAATCCATGTGTATGCACACACAAACACACGGAAGTATACTTCACTCAGTAAGAAAATAAAAGGGGGAAGGGGCGAGGGGGAATTAGAAAGTAGAATAAGGAAGGGATTAGTCCTAAGCAAAACAAATTCTAAAGATATGCAAAATAGCTCTTTTTGAGGCGGTGAAGAATGAGAATCTGAAGAGAGGTACCCATAAATTGACAAATATGTGGGCAAATTACGGTAAATAAATGTGATGGAATATACTGTTGTGTTAAACTCTTACCAGCATTATGACCAACCATGATTCCAGAGGACTGATGATAAATCATGCTGTCTACCTCCTTCTAGATGAAGCACTCAGAAAGAAGAATAAAAGAAACATTTTTTTAGAGACACAGCCAATGTGGAAAATTGTTTCAGTTGACTATATGTGTTTGTAATGGGTTTTGTTGTCGGGGGGGGGGGGCGGCAGCGGCATTGTTAATGTGAGAGGGTGAGAATATGGGTCTTGATTGTGTGTGTGTGTGTGTGTGTGTGTGTGTGTGTGTGTGTGTATGAATTAATAAACTTGGGAACTCTGATCAATAGTGATGAGCAGTCACAATTTCTGAGGATTTGTGATGAAACATGCACCCCATCATGTGACAAAGGGGATGGACTGAAAGCATAAAATGAGATTTTTTTTTAACGTGGCCAATGAGAAATTTTGTTTTACTTGATTATATATGCATCTACGGGTTTTATTTTTCTTGCCTTCTCAATAAGGGTGGAGGGAGGGAAATAGATGGCTAGAAGACTGACCTTTCTTAGAAAATAAAATATATGTATTTTATACTGTTTGTTGAGGTGTTATTTGTGTAATAGTTATCTTTATTTGTAATTTCTGTTATTACTCTTTAACTTTTCATGTCTCCCTTGTCTTTTTAGATAAATTGTAAGCTCCTTGATGGAATTTTTTCCCCACTTAGGAGCAGTTTGTAGAAAGGTCTTGTTAGATACTGAATTCTGTATGGCAAATTTTTTAGGGAGAGAAGTAAAGAAACAAGTATTTATTAAGCACATTCTATGAACTAGGCACTATACAAATCCCTGAGGATAAGAAACCAGCAAAAAGAAAGATGGGCCCTACCCTCAAAGGGCTTACATTCTAATGGGAAAAGAGTATACACAAAAGGGAGCTGAACAGATAGAAGATGAGAGAGGAGAATGAAGAAACCCAGGGACAGATCATAGTTTTGAAATCCAAAAAGTCAGGAGCAGACCCTGGAGGGGGGAATGAAGGCTGGCTGGCCTGAACCCTTCCCCAAAATGGAGACCCTGGTTGTAGCTCACCAATGGAAGAAGGGGCTGGCCTGGTAGAGGGATGTTTCAAGGTGAGAAGGCCTCAGGGGAATTGGATTTTCCAGGGTGAGGAGGCCACAGGTACTGAGGGAATTTGCAGGATAAGGAGAAGCTGAGGCATAGTCTTGAGGTCCAGAAATTCAGGAGCAATGCTGAAAAGGAATTGAAATGGTGAAGACTGGAGCTATGGAATGATAGTCTTTTTACCAACTGTTAAGACTTCTAGTCTGAACTTCAATGCAGATGCAAAGCAATTGTTAATTTAATCCCCTCACATTGGGTCTCAGTGGTATAGAAGAATCCAAGTTTGAGGAATTTAGATTTTTGTGTTTATACCTGAAGGTATTTTATAATCTCATAATTTATAAACTTTGTGCTTTTGTTTTACTAGACGCTTTGCCCACCTTCTTGCTAAAAAAGATGTCTGTAATTCAGAAACAAAGAAAGATTTGCTCAAGAAGGTAAAAAATGCCATTTCAGCTACTGCAGAGAGATTCTCTGGCTATATGCAAAATGTAAGTAATGATTATTTCAAAATATCTTTAGCAGTCTGTGAGAAATGGTTTTTAAATCTTAGCATGATTGTTGTATTAAGTTGGAAAAAAATTTTTCACTGTAATATTTCTGTTTATTTTATTGTCTTGGAAGGTTGATTTACAAGGGTCCAAACTTAGTGGGTTTTGTTCTGTAAAGTCAGTAACATAATTTGTGCTAAGTCAATTTTTTAGAAATTCATTTTAGATTTTAAGCTACAAATTGCAAATATATTAAGATATCTTGGAGTAAATATCTGCCTTTTGTATTCAGTTGTATTTTGTTTTGATAAACTAAATCATGAAAATTAATGAGAAGGTTTCATGTCAGATAGCTATTTCTGATTTGATTGAGTGGATCTTCTTCTTAGGATGCACATGAATTTTTAAGTCAGTGTTTGGATCAACTAAAGGAGGACATGGAAAAGTTAAATAAAACTTGGAAGACTGAGCCTGTATCTGGGGAAGAGAATTCTCCAGGACGGACTTCAGATGATATTGCAGCTACTAGGATATACACATGTCCTGTTATTACTAATTTGGAGTTTGAGGTCCAGCATTCTATAATATGTAAAGTGTAAGTATCCTCTATCATAGAGAGACGTGTTGGGTTTTTTTCTTTCTCTATTTGCCTGTAGAATTAAAAAACATGTATATCATGATATTGTCTGTCACTCATCCTTTCTCCTTTGTGTCTTCAAACTCTTGCTATAGTTCTTCCCTGGTATATAAACCAGGATTCCTATCTAAAAGAGAAATTCTAAACTTAGGATTCCTATCTTAATAACTAAAAAAAATAACAAAAACCTTTTTTAATCAAATATTCCATGTACTCAAGGTACATTGCCATCTTCATTTCACTGCCAAACTTTTGTGAAAGCGTCATCTGTGTCTAATACCTCTACTTCTTGAATCAGTGGGAAAGTTTTTAGGACACGTTTCTTATACTTGTTATTTAACCACAAGATCTTGAGGGCAGAGAGTGTTCTACTACATCTGTGCATTCTCAGTCCTAGCCCAATGCCTTGCACAGAGTAGGCACTTAATAATTGTTGAATTGATTACCAGATATTCTGAAATCTTGGTGTCTTTTCATTTTCTGTCTCCCACATCCAGTGAGTTTCCAAGTCTTCTGAATTCCTCAACATCTCTGGAATCCAGCCATCTGTTTCCATTCCTACTGCTACTCCATATTCAAGTTCTTATTGCCACTTACCTAAACTGTTGAAACAGCCTTCCCACCATGTCATATCTGTCCCTTTCAAATCTGTCCTTCACAGTGATGTAAAATTAAACTTAACTAGGTCTAGTCATGTCATTCTACAGTTCAAAACTCTTCAGTGGTTCCAAGTTGTCTACTAAATAAAGTCCAAACTCCTTAGCCTAGCATTTACTGTCTTCTACATTCTCATACTGAGAGCATTGAGGAGAAGGCAGCCAGCCTAGCCCGAGAAGGACATTGATTTCACGTATTGTGAAAATGATTTGAAGTAATTGCAGGTGGTCAGCAGAGGTTTCAAGGCTTTCAGGGGCTGTCATGTGAAAGAGGGATGAAAGGTATTTATTTTGGCCCCAGAGCACAAAACTATAAACTCTGTAAGTGGAAGTTGCAAAGAGGAAAATTTATGTCCAAGATAAGAAAAAACTTCCCAACCAGTAGAACATCAAGATGCAGGGTGGGCTGCCTTAGGGTGTTGAGAGTCCTGCATGACACCTTCCAGGCACAAGTCTTTTGGAATGGAGCGCCATCTTAGCTTCCATTACTTACCATTTACTTGCTCTGAGTTTCAACCCAAAGATTGTTCCACGAACACCACCTGACAAGCCTTTACTCATACCCCACTAGAAATGGAATACCCTCTCCCCTCCTATTATTGCTCCTACTAAAGTCCTAGCCATCCTTCCAAATTCAAGTGAAACATTTGACAGTATAGGATTGTGTAAATGGATTTTGTAGTTGGCAGGACCAGGTTAAAATCCCATTGTGCCCACTGAGCTACCTGGGTAATATGCTTGGGTAAATCACTTAACTCCAGTGGTTCTCAGTTTCCTTATAATGTTACTGGGCTGGATTAGATGGTCTATGAGTTCCCTTCTAGCTTTAAATCTGTGATCCTGTGATCTCTATGCAGCCTTCCATGACCTCTAAGATGTACTGGATTGGTTTTTAGAATTTCCCTTCTTTATTTATTGTATTCTGTTTTGTATTATAGTTATTTTTAGAAAAGTCTTCTCTTAGGGGCAGGCAGGTGGTGCAGTGGATAGAGCACCAGCCCTGAAGTCAGGAGGACCTGAGTTCAAATCCGGCCTCAGACCAAACTCTTGATGCTTACTAGCTGTGTGACCCTGGGCAAGTCACTTAACCCCAATTGCCTAAAAAAAAAAAAAAGAAAGAAAGAAAAGTCTTCTCTTTCTAGAATGTAGGTTATTAAGTATAGGGACCTATCTGTCTTAACTTTGTAATTTCCTTATCACCTGCCACAGTGCTTTCCACATAATAATTCAAGATATGTTTGTTGAAGTGAATAGTTGACACTTTTATGTGGGTTCTGCTTGCCTCATTCTTCTTTCTAAGGCATAGATATTCAAACCTATTGATTGTCCCCACTATCTTTTTGTAAGCATTTTGAACTCTTTTTTTAGCACCTTTATTCTTCTTTAAAAATGATTGGTAAAATGAAACTAACTCTGAGCTGAATCATAATAGAAAATCTGTCACATTTTTTAACATAAACACCCTTTTCACATATTATGAAATTCATTTTTGCACTTGATTTTTCCTTAATAAAAGGTTTTTATATACTAGTTGTTTTTAAATACAGAACTAGACAGATCTTTAAATAAAGGCTGTTTTCTCACTGAAAGCACCATTCACATATCTTAAATATCAAACTGAGAGGCAACAGGGCATAGTGAATGTAGGCTGGTCTCAGAGACAGGACAGCGCCATTCATATCCTCCCTTAGACACATGTTGTGTAATTCTGGGCAAATCACTTCCCTTACTAGGACCTCAGGCCACCATGCCTAAGAGTAGAAGATGCAGTAGAGATGTTGAGCTGCATTAGCATTTGGAGTTTTCTCCCCGGGAGTTCTCTACAGCAAAGAAATAAAGGGTCTAGAACCTTTCTCTTCATCATCCCCTTCCCTCAGCCCCCTTCCAGAAAAACAAAATAAAACAAAAACATCTTCATCCTATTGCTTATTACAGTTCATATAACTGTAACATAGAAGAATTTAAGTTAATCAATAGATTAGAAAGTAAGCCCTCTAACTAATCCTGTTTTTTAGCCTCTATTTTATAAGTGAACTGGGAGAGGAGGTGATTTGAGCTTGAAGCTCAGTTGGTTAGATTTTATGAACTAGTATGTATTTCAGATTTTGTAAGGTTCTGTTTCCATAGTACCAAGGTTTGTTCACCTTTGCCCCAATTAGGTTATTGAGCCAGTCGTCCCATAGTGTTGTCTTGTTGTGGACCGTCATGCAGCTCTAAAAGCAACATGAAAATGACTGTATGTAGGATCATAAATTTAGAGCTATAAGGACCTTGGAGACCATCATATCCAACCCCCCTGTTCTGCCAAGGAAGAAACTGACCCAGAGAGGTTAAGGGACTTGCCCACGATCACACGCGAGTGGCAGAGGTGGAAGTTTCAGTCCAGGGCCTCTTGACTCCACGCTCCATTGAGCTGTACCAGACTGGCTCCTGTATGTTTGAATTACCTGCTTCCTTGTGAAAATGTTTTAATCTTGGATACTGAGATTTTTAATCATACCAATAAAATAATACCTGAATTTATATAGCACGTTGCACACATTATCTCACTTGAGCCTCACAATCACTGTCTACTGTAGGTGCTACAGATATTAGCCCCTTCTCAGATGAAGCACCTTGGCCTCAGAGAGGCTACATGACTTGCCTGTGGTCACACAACTAGAGAGTGTCATAGGCAGGATTTGAATCCAGCCTTTCCAATACCAAGTGCAATTCTCTGTCCACTGTGCAATGTGATAGTGTGTATTGTATGATGTAGACACTTTCTAAAGTAAAGCATTGAGCAAAGTCATAGATTAACTTTTATTCATATGCCCTGTGCTTGTGGACTTGCTTGGCTCAGGATAGTAAAGGAGTGAATGTTTGTTTTCTCATTATGTTTCCCATCAAATTTCTTAGAAGAAAATTGGTTTTTACAAGTATGGTATTTTATTCTGCATTGTACAGTTGTGTTTAGAAGAAATGTGTTTTTTATGTTCTCTAGATGTGGTGAAACTGTTCCTAAACGTGAACAGTTTAATGACCTTTCCATTGACCTGCCCCGAAGAAAGAAACCGCTACCTCCTCGGTCAATCCAAGATTCTCTCGATCTTTTCTTTAGGGTAAATAATACTATTTGTTAATGGAAATGTGTATTTCATAGATTTAGTTCTGATCCATTTCTTTGCAGTATCTTGTCAGATAGTTGGAAAAAATAATTACCCAAATAGGAATTGTTTAATATTAACTTTTACTTTGGTGGTGGGAACAGGGGAAAGAGACTTCATAAACCTGTTGATTTGAAAACAGATTGCTTAAGTGGGATGTTCATTTAGTGTACCAGCAAATGTGTTTAGAAAATAACCCTACTTATGTTTAATATTAAATAGAAATAATAATTTGAGGTAAATGAAATTTTATGTTAAAGTATTTCTGCTTGCAAGATAGGTTAAATTTTTAAAAATAGGAAATAATTTGCATATGTATCTTCATAAATCTTTTTGTTAATCAATATGTAAATCATCACTGAGAAGATTGAGGGAGGCATCAGTATATATCCTTTGTTTTTTCTTAGGTAGTATAAGACCGATAGAGAGAAGGGGGAAAATTCTCATGTTTTAGAACAGTTAGATAAATGTATTCCTGTGGTTCATAGTGACAGATCCTTTTTTTTTTTTTTTTTTTTGGAGTTGGGCAGTGGGAGTTAAGTGACTTGCCCAGGGTCACACAGCTAGTAAGTGTTATGTGTCTGAGGCCAGATTTGAACTCGGGTCCTCCTGACTCCAGAGCTGGTGCTATATTGACTGCACCACCTAGCTGCCCCCTGTAGTGACAGATCCTTGAAAGGCCTCTGTGATATAGTTGGAGCTTCCATACAGCAGTACTTGTTCAAGAGAATTTGCCAGGATCCATTTTGATTTTATAGTAATTTCTATTTTGTTGGAGTAAATTTATGGATTTTCCATGCCTGGGGCTATATAGTGATACTATTTCTTGTATTGACAAGTAACCTCTCATCTTTATTAACCAGTGTGATGATTTGTGGATGTTCTGACCTCACTCTCTGTCCTGGAGTAGGAAAGCACCAATGAAAGAGTAATTTTTTACCTTTATTTTTTTAAAAAAATTATGTTTTTCAATTAACAAGAGTCTAGTTTCTCTACCATCCATTTTATCCTCAGCTCCCCACTTAAAAAGAAATAAAAACTAAATTCTTCTAACGGATATATGTAATTAAAGAAAATCAATTCCCTCATGGGCCACATATAAAAAATATGTCTCAATCTGCACTTGAATCCATCACCTCTCTGTCATGATGTGTGTAGCATATTTCATTATGGGCCTTCTGGAATGGAGTTCTCAAATATTTCAAAGTTGTTTGTCTTTTCAGTGTTGTATAAAGATTCCTTACTTTCCCACAGGATCACCAACTAATAGCTATACTTTGAAGGCTTTTTCTCTGGTTTTTAAGTACTATGTATTTCAGTTATCTTTAGATGACAGCTGTTTTTCCCCCCCAAAAAAAGTTTGATCTTTACTATTTTTTTTAGAGTATGATGTTTTGTGAATTAAGATGTGTCTTTTAAGAAAGAAAATTAAGATTACTTTAGAAAATTTATTGAAACATAAAAGATTCTTGATCTTTTGAGGACCAGGTCTCAGTTTCTTTAGTAAGGGAAAATTGGCCGACTTGTGGCCTTAAACAGAAATAGAATTTCACCTGGTTGAAAGTTTCTAATCTTGTCAGCGGGTATGAAGATGCTAGTTCAATCTTGTGTTTGTGTTTTGTTTTTAATAGGCAGAAGAACTTGAATATTCCTGTGAGAAATGTGGTGGGAAGTCTGCTATTGTCACACATAAGTTCAACAGACTCCCCAGGTAAATTTAATCCTGGTTCAATTTTGCTTCTTTGGCGTTCTTTTTATTTCTCCTTGAAAAATAGAGTACCTGAGAAAAGTAGAAAACCTGAAAGACTGAATGCATAGATAGGGACTCCAGTGAAGTTTGACAGTGGGTTAGTCAGGAAGATAAGCAAAGCTGAACCATAAATAGGAATGGTAATGGTAATGATTTCAAGGTCAGAGATGGTTTTATTTGGTTAGTATACTTCTATGCAAAGCAATTTGGAGTATTCTAGCAGTATCCTTTTTTTAAAAAAAATTGGAAGTAAAATATAGAGCCTTATTGTATATTTGGTCCATCTAAATTAAATGAATTTAGAATTTTTTAATCTAAGTTTTATTTTTTATTCGTCCTTTGTTTTTACATCGCCTTCCTTAATATATTCATCCCACCTACCTCCCATTACCCAATGAGCCATCCCATGTAAGAAAGTTCCCTTATAAAAAGAAAGACAGGAAAAAGCCATTGAGTAAACCCCTAGCGCATGTGGAACAGTGCATGTTTTCCCCATCTCTGCCTAGAGTTTAGCGCAACAAGAATTTATTCAGGTTTTAGTACATACTAGTTACTGTCCTAGGCACTGGGAAGATGAGCACAAAGAATGAACCAGTCCTTTCTCTTACAGAGAATGATGCTTGTAAAGTTTAGCAGACTTCTTTTTTAATTAAAAAAGCAAAATCACCACAGTTAATAAACCCTTGCCCTCATTTTGCAATTTCAGAGCAATTTTTAAAGGATTTAGTGCATTTTTGTTTTGTGGCTTCAGTAATAAAGGCATATACCGTAAGAAAGGAAGCAATTTGCTATAAGTCTCATTTGCCTGGAACCGTGGTTGAGTTCCCATATGAATTTTGAAATCCAATTATAAAATGTTTATGTGGATCGTAGTCATTTGGTCCATCAGGCAAAGATTCATTCAGTACTAAAGGTGAAAAGATCATTTGAATACCAGCCAGTGAGTCTAGTGGTGCTGAAGAGCTCCAAAGCCTTTTCAGACCTACAGTCTAGATTAGGTCTACAAATTTCCAAACAGATCAGTTAGCTAATAAAGGAATAGAGTAAAAGAATATTTTTAAAATAGGAAAAATAGTTTTGCAGGTTTCTTTTTCTTATCTCATATTCCTTTTTAGGGAAAGAATGTTGAAATATGGGTTAAGAAAGAAAGAAGTATTCTTATAAGTGCTTACTAAAGGACTATTTTGAAACATTTTCATCAAGGGCTATATAACAGATTGAAATAAATAAGTAAACATTTTAATCCAGTATTTTTTTTACCTGAACTTTAAGAAAAACTCTTTTTTTAGTAACTATGTATTTTCTTTAGAATTTTTGCCTAGAAGTCTTAAAACACTTTAGTATACTCTGTACTCTTATAAGTCAGGAAGAGGTAAATAAAACAGAATTTTATGGTAGCCAAATCCAGAAATTCTCTAATATGTAGACTAGATTAAGCTGTTTTGTGCTCCAAATAGTTGTTTCTAATATGTATGAAATAATGGATTGCATCATCTTCTCTTTTAGGGTCCTTATTCTTCATCTGAAACGATACAGCTTCAATGTGGCCCTCTCACTCAACAACAAGGTTGGACAGCAAGTGGTTATTCCAAGATATTTAACTTTATCATCCCATTGCACTGAAAGTACAAAACCTCCCCTTACTCTGGGTTGGAGTGCACATACAGCAATGTAAGTCCTTGGAAAAGAAATTCCTTCCATACCCTTTTAGCAAGTCCAGCTGTGATCTGTCTGACGTAGATGGAGCAGTGAAATAGAATCAGCCCCAGAACAGAGGAAGAGTTTTCTTGTTTGTTTGTTGTAGTTTTCATGTAATGAACTGTGTATTCATGGAGAACAGTAGTAAGATAAAAAGAATCTCCTTAAGGCATAAGTCTTCCTAGAAGAGTTACTTTTCAGGGGGTACATATATTCTTCTGTGCCATTGTAGGACACTTTGATATATTGCAGGACTATTAAAATAAATCACTGTTTCCCAATTGCTGTTCACTGGGCTGGCAAATTTCTATCAGTTTAAAAAGTGATCACTCCCAAAGTTATTAAAGGCTACTATTATGAAGATGGAAGTCTTCTTGTGTGGACTGTTGTAATAAGGATTCCTTTTTGAGTATACATTCTACTAGATAGCTTTTGAAGGCCCTTCAGTCTCTTGAAAATTTGTGGGGCCTTGCAAAGTCTTTTTTTGGGGGGGCGGGGCACTAGGCAATGGGGTTAAGTGACTTGCCCAGGGTCACACAGCTAAGTGTCAAGTGTCTGAGGCCGAATTTGAACTCAGTTCCTCCTGACTTCAGGGCCAGTGCTGTATCCACTGCACCACCTACCTGCCCCCTTGCAAAGTCTTTAACCTTATAAACCTCTAAACTTAAAAAAAAAATACCCTAAATTATCTCTTTATCTCTTTGTCTTGCTGTTTGCACAGTCTACCACTTCCTGAACTAAGCTTGATCAAGCTACATATCTTGAGTGGTCCAAGGCAGAGGATTTAGATGTTTTATCAATCTACAGTATAGTTTGGGTGTCTTTTACTCATTGAAATGCGTATTCTCTCTTTGAGTCAGCAGGAGTATGCTGGCAAATGTTTAACACCTGGCTCTCTGGGGGGGAAATGTGTGCATGACGTACTTCAATTTTTTTTTTTTTTTGGTGAGGCAATTGGGGTTGAGTGACTTGCCCAGAGTCACACATCTAGCGAGTGTTATACGTCTGAGGCCAAATGGGAACTCAGGTCCTCCTGACTCCAGGGCCAGTGCTCTATCCACTGTGCCACCTAGCTACCACCTATGATGTACTTTTAAGTGTAAGTTGGACTATTAACATTTTCTCCAGCACTTCTTAAGTCTAAATTTTCTTTTCACATTCTTAAGTTAAATCAACAAGACAATGATTAGACATTTATGGAGGCACATTTACTTGTTCACAGCACCAGGATTCTATTTGCCAGCATACTTCTGCTGACTCACAGAAAGAATCCATATCTCAATGAGTAAAAGACATCTAGCTTTCTATACCCCTAGAGTCCAACCTAATTGTAACCAAAATACTTCTGAATAAAATACTAGAAGATTTATATCTTGATTTTAAAAGTTATTTAATCTGCTTATGATGCTTCGTGCTCACAAAATCACAGTAAAAATATATGCACAACATTGAGCTGGCTCCCGGAAAAGTTTTGTGGTAGAGAAAAAAAAAATTTAAGTAGATTTTTATTAATATCTTTTTATTTTAAATTACCTGGATTTCCCCCCTGACCCTTCCCCTTCCCCTTCCCAGAGAGCTCCTACAAAGATTTGAAGGGAAAAAAGAAAAAAAATGGAAGAAAGAAAAAATTAACAAAACTTATCAATACATTTTTTAAAAATCTAACATATAGTGTCCCCTTGTGGGCATCTCCCCCCGGAAATTACATGGAATTGGACAGATAAAATGACCATGGGAAGAACAGGGAATAGAAATGGACCATATGATTTGAAATTTAGAGAAATTTCTGCTATGGAGCAACAAGTGCACCCTTAATACCTCCCTCAGGAATAGATACCTCTAAGAGTGAGGTGTAGTAGGAAAAAAAAAGATCTGCAGTACCAGTAGTAACTTAGTAACCTGTTAGAAGAATTTGAACATGGTACTTTAGAAGTTTTAGTTTTCTGAGGAACACAGAGGTTGAAGAAGAAATTAATAAGTATACAGATGGCGAATAAAAGTTTATAATAGAAAGGGACGTTGTTATTCAGTTGTGTCCAATTCTTTGTGACCCCATTTGAAGTTTTTTTGGCAAAGATATTGGAGTATTTGCCATTTTCTTCTCTAGCTCATTTTACAGATGAGGAAACTAAGGCATACAGAGTTAAGTGACTTTCCATGAATCTGAGACTGGATTTGAACTGAAGTCTTTCTGACTCCAGACCTGGCACTCTGTCCATTGTGCCACCTAGCTGCCCCAGAAAGGGAAGACAAGATAAAATCTTAGAAAAGGGTTGCCTTAAAGTAAATTAAGAATAACTAATGGTAGATGCAGTGTGCTGACTTAAAAGAGGAAGAGGAACCCCCCAAAAAGTCATAATTCAAAAAAAAGAAATACTGATAAGATAAATGCAAACCTAACTCTCATAACTTTAAGTGTGGGTGGATTAAACAATCCAATAAAATAACAGAGTAACAGATTAGAACATAAAACTCCACAATTTGTTGCTTACAAGAAGAACATCTAAAAAGCAAAGACATACATAAATTTTAAAATGAGAAGCTACATTAAATATACTATCCATCTGGGAAATCAAGAAAAACTGGAGTCGCACTCATACTCTCAGACAAAGCAAAACCAAAAATTTACAATATTGACGGATGTAGAGATAAAGGAGGAAATAGCAATGTATTAATGTCGCTATTAATTCTCCAAATGTCATAGAATCCAAATTCACAAAGGAAAAATTAGATGAGCTGCAATAACATACTGCACACAATAAAAGTAGGAGGCTTTAATGCACCACTCTTGTGGTTAGACAGATCTAATAGATCAGCAGAAGGGAAAATACAGACTTTAAACAAATTGTTGGAGATACTAGAGCTAAAAGACTTAGGGCATTTACTGAATGGGACCACTAAAGAATATACTTACTTTTTAACACCACATAGAACATTTACAAATATTAGACATGTGTTATTGCACAAAAAAATTGTAAGTACATGTAAAAAGAAAGAAAAAGTAAACATAGCCTTTCCAGATCATAATACATTAAAAATAGTATTCCATTCAGGAAGTACAAACAAAAGATATGAACCTGAATGGAGACTTAATAATGAAATCCTAAATAATATTGGGCCAAAGAACAAATCATAGAAACAATGAGTAATTATGTGAAAGACAATTATAATAATGAGACAATGTACCAGAATTTCTGAGATGCAGCTAAAGTAGTTCTCTGGAAAAAGTATATTCCTTTATGGAAGTGAATATTGAAAACTAAAAATAAATTAATTTTTTAAAAAAAGAAGAAAGTGTATTCCTAAAAACATAAATTGGCAAAATAGAAAAGGAGAGGATTAATGAAATATATATACGTTTTTAAAAAATTAGAAACCAACAAATAAGCCCCAAATAAGTACAAGTTAGAAGAGAAATAGATAAATTGAAAGTCAAATTGATTATAGAAATAATAAAGCTGAAAGCTGGTTCTTTGAAAAGATCCACAAAATTGATAAATCTTTAGCTAACCTGGTTAAAAAGAGAACAGAAAATAATATCAACAAAATAAAAAATTAACGTCATGACATCACAACAAAATAAGCAATAAAAAGAATTATCAAAAGCAACTTTGCCATCGAAACAGAATACCAAACAAATGATTACCTTCAAAAATTTTAAATACCCAAAGAGAAATCTTAATCCATCTTAGAAAAGGAAATAGAAAAATGTGGTTTTGCGTCATCATGCATATGGTCCACACATATCAGGATTCTTGGAGCCCTACATGCCTTCTTTACCTTGAGGCTGGACATTGCATGGCCACTTGTTGGCAAGACATCTTTGGTTTACAGGCCCAGAATGGGGCAGAGCTGGAAGTGACCATAACAACTCCTGCAGTCCAGCTTCCTCACTCTGCAGAACGGGAAACTAAGTCAGGGAGAGGTGAACTAGTCTAAGATCAAAGAACAAATCAGTGGCCATCTCTTGATTAGATGGTGCAGTGAAACAGTATTTGGCAGCCTGACGTGAGAGGCTGTTCAAGAAAGAGGTATGATATAAAATGATTTTGTTTATGACCCCTCAGAGTTCTTCCTGGGACTCTTGCGTAAACTGCTCTCTGCTGTAGGAGGCATGATTCTTCACCTCTGCAGTACTAGAACATGATTTAAAAGGTAGCAGCAGTATGATTCTGATTTCACCTCTTCTTTGTATCTCTAGCATGACCCTTCCTGTATGTGCCCTTTTAAAGTCATCTTTTTCCGTATTGTTGCTTGAACTTAGCTACCAATTGTGTCCAACTGTTAGATTATTGCTCCTTACAGATTATGTAAGGATGCTGTTTGTATTTTTCTCTCTGGTTTATTTAATAATCAGTATATTTAATAGAATGCATCATTATACTCTCTGCTTGTCAAAGGTATTGATCTTTCAGGGATTAGGGCTTTTAATAAAGTATCTGGCTTCAGGATATAAGTAAAAAGTATTTTGGGTTTTTTTCCCTATAGAGATTATAACTGCATTTGTCTATATAATATGTATATGTTGTTTAATTTTCTGATAGTACTCGGCCATTGAAAGCATCCCAAATGGTGAATTCCTGCACCATCAGCACTTCTACGCCTTCAAGGTTAGTTGTATCTCCTGTGTACCCTGTGATTTTTTAAGGATTTAACTTGTTCTGTTCACCAACTCCTTTTTTCTTCATTTTTTCTCACATTACGTAATTCTTCAGTTGTCACCTTTGTTGGTCATACTTTGGTGTTTAACCTAATATAGAGCAAACTTTAACAGTGAAACAAGATTTAAAACAGTCCCTTAACATTCTGTTACAAGCCTGTGTTTTAAACTTGATTGCTTTCTAGTTTGTGACATTTTATAACCTAAAATTTAAGAATATTTCAGAATTAATCTAGTTTGTTTATACATTTTTAATTATTTATATATTAGGAAAAAGTGATATTAATGTTGAGTGTTTTATTTCTAAAATGAGTGTGTAGATGCAAAATAATTTACATGCTTATGTCCCAAGAGGCAATCTAAACTCAGATATAAAGACCTAGAGTCAGTGTGATATCAGACACAGACTTACTGTGTAACTCTGGGCAAGTTGCTTAACTTCTCCGTGCCTTGGTTTGTTCCTCTGTACCATGGGGAGGCTCTACCTCCTAGGATGGTGTGAGGATCAAATACAGTGACGCCCTTGAAGACTCTCACACACATTAGAGCTCTTTACAAATTTGAACTGGAGTCAGTTACTGTGAGTTTTCATGATTCAGTCACTGAACTTGAGCGATTTTGAGGATGACTAGAAAAATACATTCTTGAGGAATACTGTGCTACAGGAATTTTACTGCTTTCCCACAAAATTTAAAGGGCTAGACCTGGCCAAGGAAAGAAGCAGATATTTCTACTCCCCCTTAATGCACTCATCCTCTAAGAATTGGTTGGAAACACCAGCGTTTAATATTATACCTCTTACTGTGAGTGATTTGATAAGTCAGCAGTCTCAAAATTTATGTCTTCTAAAATTTGTCCTAAAATCAATTTTATTCTTATTATTTTTCAGTGTATTAATACCAGGTGACTTAAATAACTCAAAATCTGAAAGGATTAAGGGCACAAATATTCTTCCCCAAGTCTTTAGAAAATGAGCAAGTAATGAATTATATGATGAATATTTTTCTTTAATCTAGACAAGCTACTGTCAGTGAATTTGTTACTTATTAATGGAATGTACTGTGTAGCAAATCACTGTAGTTGCCTCAAAGAGATGACTTCATTGGACATTTCCATGATCTGGCCATCTGTGCTTTGAGGTCTTTTGTTCTGCAAGCTTGATTTTCTATCACAATTGGAGTGATTAGGCTCTGGCAAGCTAATCATGTTGATAAAACTTAGAAAAGACTTGTTTATGAACCAGAAAGCCATTGGGTTTTTATATAGTGTCATTTATTACATTTAACGGACTGTCACATTAGCTGCGAGGAAACAGTTACCTTCCTCAGCAGAGTATTTACCTGGACACATTATGCCTGGAGGTCTCCTTGGTGACCATGAAATCAGAGATACGGAATTGACATCATTGATAGGACATTTCTGTCTCAGTTTTATTAAAACCTGAAAGATCACCCAGTGGTTGGGTATTATTCTAGCTAATAACCCCTTCTGGGGCAGTCATCTCCCATAAAGTATTTGGTGTGATTGCTGACTTTTATATCTTTTTTTAAAACTGTGTTTCTGTGCAGAGCATAGAATCTTATTTACTGCATTTTATTTACTAGTTTCTTGATATTTTCATTTATTGTTTGCAAATTTAGATTTACATTTCATCCTGTTCTGTTTTGCAGGGGTAATATCTTGATTTATGTTAATTCAAATAAAGGAGAGATCTTTCTTTGGGCTTTTCCTTATTTCTTTTTCAGCTTATAGTGTCTAGGATACTTAGAAGTAAAAATGAATCTTGTGATGATGTCAAATAAATGAGATATTTGAGCTAAGTAAAATTTCCATACAAGCTCTAGGTACTCAAACTTATTTTAACCAAAGTACATTGGCTTTAATTTTATTTTTTTTATTGATGACATAAGTTTATAACAATGTCAATTTTTGTTCTTTACTGTAATATAGGGATGCCCTTGAGGGATGTTGGCCTGACTGACCCTGTATTAAGTTGTTCTAAGCTGATGTGTTTTTATAATTCTTTGGACTTTTTTTTTCTTTAAATATAAATTTATTTATTTTTAGCTTTCAACATTCACTTCCACAAGTTTTTGAGTTCCAAATTTTCGCCCCATCTCCCCCCCCCCACCCCAAGATGGCATGCATTCTGAATATCCCTTCCCCTAGTCTGTCCTCTCTTCTATCTCTCCCCACTTCTCTTATCCCCTTTCCCTTCTATTTTCCTGTAGGGCAGGATAGACTTCTGTACCCCATTTCCTATATTTCTTATTTCCCAGTAGCATGTGAAAACATTTTTTTTAAACATATGTTTTTAAAACTTTAGGTTTCAAATTTTCTGTCTTCCTCCCTCCCCACCCACCCTCATTGAAAAGGCAAGCAACTCAATATAGGTTATACACGTGCAGTTATGCAAAACACATCCATAGTAGACATGTTGTAAAAAACTATTTCCCTTAATCCTATCCTGCCCTCCCATTTATTCTATTCTTTCTTTTGACCCTGTCCCTCCTCAGAAGTATTTACTTCTGATTACCCCCTTTCCCAATCTGCCCTCCTCTCTATCATCCCCCTGCTCTCTTGTCCCCTTCTCCCCCTATTTTCCTGTAGGGTAAGACAGATTTCCATACCCAATTGAATGTGTATGTTATTCCCTCCTTAAGCCAAATCCTATGAGAATAAGATTCACTCATTCCCTCTCACCTTCCCCTGTTTCCCCTCCACTGTAAGAGATTTTCTTTTCTGTTTTTTTTTTGTGAGATAATTTACCCCATTCTACCTCTCCCTTTCTTGTTCTCCGAGTATAATCCTCTCTCATCCCTTAATTTTATTCTCCAGATATGACCCCTTAATCTTCAACTCATCCTGTGCCCTCTATCTATCTATCTACATATACATACATATAATTTTTTTCCTCCAACTACCCTAATACTGACAAAGGTCTCATGAGTTATAAATATCATCTTTCCATGCAGGAATGTAAACAGTTCAATCTTAATAAGTCTCTTATGATTTCTCTTTCCTGTTTACCTCTTCATGTTCCACTTGAGTCCTGTATTTGAAAGTCAAATTTTCTATTCAGCTCTGGTCTTTTCATCAAGAATGCTTGAAAGTCCTCTATTTCACTGAATGACCATTTTTTCCCCTGAAGGATTATACTCAGTTTTGCTGGGTAGGTGATTCTTGGTTGTAATCCTATCTCCTTTGCCCTCTGGAATATTATATTCCATGCCCTGGTCCTTTAATGTAGAAGCTGCTAAATCTTGTGTTATCCTGATTGTGTTTCCACAGTACTTGAATTGTTTCCTTCTGGCAGCTTGTAATATTTTCTCCTTGACCTGGGAACTCTGGAATTTGGCTACAATATTCCTAGGAGTTTTCCTTTGGGGATCTCTTTCAGGAGGAGATCTGTGGATTCTTTCAATTTCTATTTTGCCCTCTGGTTCTAATATATCAGGGCAGTTTTCCTTGATAATTTCTTGAAAGATGATGTCTAGGCTCTTTTTTTGATCATGGCTTTCAGATAGTCCAATAATTTTTAAATTCTCTCTCCTGGATCTATTTTCCAGGTCAGTTGTTTTTCCAATGAGATATTTCACATTGTTTTCTAATTTTTCATTCTTTTGGATTTGTTCTACTGTGTCTTGATTTCTCATAAAGTCACTATCTTCCAATTGCTCTATTCTAATTTTTAAGGAAGTATTTTCTTCAGTAATCTTTTGGACTTCCTTTTCCATTTGGCCAATTTTTCTTTTTAGGGCATTTTCTCCTCATTGGCTTTTTGGACCTCTTTTGCCATTTGGGTTAGGCTATTTTTTAAGGTGTTATTTTCTTCAGTATTTTTTTGGGTCTCCTTTAGCAAGCTGTTGACTTGTTTTTCATGATTTTCTTGCATCACTCTCAGTTTTTCCTCTACTTCCTTACTTGCTTCTCAAAATCCCTTTTGAGCTCTTCCAAGGCCTGGACTGATTCATATTTTTCTTGGAGGCTTTGGATGTAGGAGCTTTGACTTTGTTGTCTTCTTCTGGTTGTATTTTTGATCTTCTTTTTCACCAAAGTAAGATAATATAGTCTGACTCTTTTTGGCTGCTTGCTCATGATCCCAGCCAATTACTTGAGTTTTAAACTCTTTGTTAAGGTATGAATCTGCTTCCAATGTGGAGAATATACTGTCCCAAGCTTCGGGGGGTTTGTACAACTGTTTTCAGAGATACTTGTAGGGACCTGTAAATTTTCAGTTCTTCCAAGGTGGTATGATAAGGGCGAGGTGTTTACTCCTTTCCTGGCCTGTGACACAAGTACTCCTTTCTGTCCTGTAACGTGAGAGGGGCTCCTCTCCACAGCCACTACAAGCTCCTCCACGCCAGCGCTCCTTCTCACCCCAGCGCTGCCGCCCAGAACTGTGACCCAGATCCAAACACGGGCAAAGCGAGAGATTCCTGCCTCAGCACTGGCAAACAGATTCCTGCAATCCCTCTCTGATCAGCGACTGGATTCCCCCTCAGTCTGTGGGTCGAAAGCTCGGGAAGCAGCTGCCCCCCCCCCCCACACTCTTGGGAAATGGAGCTGAGACCCTGCCTTCCTCTCTGAGCACTGACAGAAACAGACTTTTTCCACTGACCTTCTAAGTTGTCTTTGGCCCTGGTGGATTGAGGAATCTGGAAACCTCCACAGCTGCTCGCAATTCAGTCCTCTGAGGCCTCCTCCAGGTTAGCTGCGGCCTGCGCGCCCACGCCACGATACACCTTTCTGATCAATCATCCGGCTTGTCTTGGGCTGGAAATTTGTTCCACTTTGCCTTTTTGTGGGTTCTGCTGCTTCAGAATTTGTTTAGAGCCATTTTTTATGAGTATTTGGAGGGGTTTGGAGGAGAGCTCAAGCAAGTCACTGCTTTTACTCCGTCATCTTGGCTCCACCCCCCTGGACTTTTTATTGTTCTGTGTATTAGCTATCACTTGTATATCCTCACTGCTGACAGTGTGTCATCTTCTTTCTAATTTATTGCATTACTTAATAAACAGTTTTTTCAGTGAAAATTTAAGGTGACTTCAGGCCTCTCTTATGGAATAAGGTGCCCAACCTTAATGATTGCTGTCTTATCCCTTAGCCTGTTTTGTTGACTTCCCTAGCTACATTTTGGATGCTTGAAATCTGATTTCTTAATAATTGTGGTGTTACTCTAATTAAAAGAGGGAGCGAATTATCCCATGCATAGTATTGTTAGATTTATTCATTGCCATGTCTGTATGAAATCCAGTTGAGAATACCTTGTTTACAAATATAGTAAATATTTCACTGGAATTAATCATTAGAAGAGAAAAAGACAAAAAGTGGCTTGTTAAACTTCCAAGAAGCAGTATTTTGAGAATGAAGCAAATATAGGTATATAGATATGTCTTCAGCTTTTAGCGAAGTAATTTTCAGTATTTCAATAAATTTTTTTTTAAAAAATCAAATATGGTATATGTTCTACTAAAATTTTCTGTGTTGAAAAATAAAGTTTACCTTTTATTAGTGTTTATATTCCTAAAAAGAATAACAAAGATAAATTATGCAGAACTAGTAAATATATGTTTTTTTTAAATTTGCAGGAAATATGCATTCAAATCTAAGAGCTCCATAGGATTCTCCATTGATTCCGACAGTGAGGATGAACTGCTAAAACGTTCTGTGGTCCTCAGCCAGAGACTTTTTGAAATGCCAGGCAGGGAGCAACAGGAAGAACTGGAAAGGGTAGGTGATTTCCATGAAAATGTCTGACAAAAATTGCTACTACATAAAGCCAATGATATGTTCTTCAAAATATGGGTTCAGAAAATAAGGGGTAGATACTAAATTTTTTGAGAATAGAGAGTTTGTTCCCTGGCTAGCCCAATAATCTTGTGTACAATTTGGTGACTTGTGCTCATAGATTTAAAAACTTAGAGATAATGAGAGGATCTTCCAGACCATCTAAGACCAAACTCTTTGTTTTAAAGAGATGCGACACAGAGTTTATGATTTTCTGAAGGTTACACAGATTTCTTAAGAAGTATGAGTTGCTATGAGTTCTGCGATACCCTTTTACCTTTTGGTCTTCAGAGAATTATGAGCTTATTTCAAAATGTTTATTTGTGAGAAAATCATAGTAAAAGACTAAAATTCTGGGCTTCAAATTGTGGCTAGTGGAATCATAGATCAATCACCAATCAATAGTCATTTATTAATACCTGTGCCAGGTCTATGCTATATTCTGGAGATGCAAATACAAAGAATGAATCAATCTCTTCTCACAAGAAGCTTACTTTCTTTTTTTTAATTTTCTTTTTTTATTAAATGAAAAATCCTAACATTTATTCTGTGGAAGGCTAAAGCAGGAATAATCAAATGTCATAGTTACTCAGCACAGGGCAAAAACAAGAATATTCAAAACGTTGGAATCTACCATGAACCTTGGGCCACATACTCCCACAAATGCTTGCTGTGTCCATGGGGAGAGGGATCACACACTTAAAGAAACCTAGCAAGAAGACATATCATAAGTGGGGAAAATACATTCCTGGAGCAACTCATAGCTTTGACTGTAGGCTTGCAAGTCTTGGTCTGGTCATAAACAATCCCTACCACCTGAAGCCATTTATTTTTAACTAATCCCCTTCTGATCCTCACCACTCTCTGACCATGCATACCTACTCTTCCATTGTCAAGCTAATAAAGCAGGTACAAACTGTTTTATATCATAGCTACCCTGAGCAAGAAGCTGCAAGTATGTCACAGTTTTTTAACAAGGACTGTCAGTATTGCCCTTGCTCAATGACAAGCAGTTTCTTTAAACCATAGAATTCTGGAGTTCTTTGGGTTGGCCTTCTGGGCATTGCAGACAAGCCTAGCCAGCATTTCTTTCAACAAAATACTGCTTTCTCCAGTCCACAAGCACAGCTCAAAACAAAAGAGAGATGTGAGGACCAAATTTTCCTTTCTGTTTCTCTCTCATTAAACTACAAAGGGCAGTGGAAGGCAACCATGTGCTCTCAGGAGGTCCCCATCAGTCCATAGCTCGTCCCGTTCTTCCTCCCCCACCGACTGACTGCGCAGTTATCTGTCTGAGCTCAAAACACTTTGTACACAGCCACGTGAGGGGTGGGGGCAGGGGGCAGTCCAGGAAAGGCTCTTTGTAGAACGTGGGACTTGAGTTGTGTCCTGAAGGAAGAGGGAAATTATGTAAGAGGACAAGGTGGCTAGGTCAGAGTGGGCAGGAAGGGAGTAATATCCCTTGAGGCTAGAAAGATAGTTTGGGACCAGTTATGAAGAGGTAAAAGCTAAATAGGATTTTATATTTATCTTAGAGAAAATAAGGAGCCACCGGAGTTGGTTGAGTAGAGGAATGACAATCAAACTTGTACTTGAAGAAAAACCATTTTGGCAGTAGTTTGGAGGATGGACTGGAGTGGAGAGAGGCTTGAGGCAGGGAGACCAGTTGAAGCTTAGGGGAATGACTAGGGCTGTTTATCTAAGTCTGAGATTCATCTGCATGGAAATGATATTGAAACCCTTGGAAACTGATGGGGTTATGTAAGAGAGAGAAAAGATCAGGGCCTAGCTCAGAATCTTGGCTGATTATTGATGCATGAGCAGAACATATTAAAGAGTGCAGACAGGTAAGAGGAGAACTAGGAGAAAGTGTCACAAAACCCTAGAAATGGGAAAATATCCAAGAGAGAGTAGTTAACTGTGAGATGCTGCAAATAAGTTGAGAAAGATGAGGACCAAGATAAGACCATCAGATTTGGCAAGTAAGAGGTGATTGGTAACCCTGGAAAGAAAGAACAATTTTAGTTGAGTAATGAGGTCGCTGAATATGCTAATAGCATAGTGATCCATGATTACTTGAGACATTTGGATTATCTCTTTTTACAAGGAAAGAGCACTTCATGAACATTTTTTTGAGCTTCCCTTATCAGAAGAGCAAAATTATTTCAAAAGGCCATTTTGTCGTGGTGGGGTAAACTTTTTTTCCATGTAATATTTAAACCAGGGCCCAGTTAGGATGGTATCGACCTTGAATGAAAACTAAAAGGACATTCAAAGCCACAATTCTTCACTTTTTTTTTAGGCAGTTGGGGTTAAGTAACTTGCCCAGGGTCACTCAGCTAGTAAGTGTCAAGTGTTTGGTCTGAGGCCGGATTTGAACTCAGGTCCTTCTGACTCCAGAGCCTGTGCTCTATCCACTGTGCCACTTACCTGCCCCTCACAATTCTTCACTTTTCAGTAACTTTTAAATATATCTCTTTTTTCCTTTCTTTTTATTTCATTTCATTAAATATATTTTCCAATTACATGTAAAAAATTTTTTTTTAATTTTTTTTGATGTTTGAGTTCCAAATTCTCTCCTTCCCTCCATACCTACCCCCCTCATTGAGAAGGCAAACAGTTTGATATAGGTTATACGTGTGCCATCATGCAAAACATTAAATATATTTTTGAATAAATCTTGGAGAAGATGGTGTGATTTCTGTTTTTCATTTGTTTTGCAGCTAGTGAATCAAGGAAATCCAATTTCTACTAATGTTTAAAATGGTAGAGAAAAAATGGTCACTCTTTGATTATTAAGTATATGTTGATCATTGCTTATAATCATTTTGAACCTATTTCCAAAAACATCCATTTCACTAATACCGGATGTGGGAAGCATGGCTAGACCACAGTTCATGCAAAAAAGATCTCATGGTTTTAGTGGACTGAAGATTGAGATGAGTCAGTAGGGTACCACAGTTGCCCAGAGACCAGAATACGCTGTTAGTCTGCATTAAGGAAGAGGATCCAGCTCTAGAATGTGGAGTGTGACGGATGCACTGCCCTCTGCCCTAATCAGATCACATCTAGAGTATGGCAGTCAAGTCTGAGAAAACCGAGAAGTGAATTCTCCAGCAGAGTTAGCAAGGGTGGTGAGAGGTTTGGCTGAAGAAACTGGAAAGCTTGAATATGAAGACTTTGAGGGCATGGGGACATGATAACTGCAGGTTTGGGGAGGGCTGCTATATGTAAGATAAAGCTCATGTTCTGCTTGGGCCTGGAGAACAAACCTAGGAATAGTTGGTGTAAGGTTCAGAGGCATAGGTTTAAGCCTAATGTAAGGAAAAACTTCCTAGCAGTTAGAACTATCTAAATTGATTATGAGTTGCTTTGGTGGAAGTGTTCAAGTGGAAGCTGGATATTAGTGAAAGGTTTCCTGTTTAGGTATGTATTGGGCTAATGACTGACCTGTAGGTCTCTTGGAACTGTTTAGATTGTGTCCTTGTGCCTTCCTCTCTGTAGGTTTCAAAAAAATGCAAAATGGAATCAGATAAATCAGAATTGGGAAACTCAGGATTTGATGGAATGAGTGAAGATGAACTTCTGGCAGCTGTCTTGGAGATAAGTAAGAGAGAAGCCTCTCTGTCTTTGACTAATGAAGATGATGATAAGCCTACCAGCAGTCCAGATACGGGGTTTGCAGAGGATGATATACAAGATACGCCTGAAAATCTGGAATCTCTGGAGGCAGAAAAATCAAAAGCCCCAGTAGAAGCTGGTAGGTTGAATAAAAATGAATGTATCTAGTAATAAACATAACTAGAACCCTTACAGAGTTAGAGTAATGGTTTTAGTGGTGAACAGAAATGACTTGTATAACAGTGGTATGGGTAATCACTTCTGAAATATTTCCATCCTTTAAATGAATTAATTGTATTGAATTTGAAGCTATGTGTGTGACTGAGCACCTAAGGATGCACTGAGAGTATGCTTCTTTCTGTGAAGTACGGTCTACTGGATATCATTTTGGCTCATGAATGTATGTGTTTGTGCCTTAGTTCATGTCTTTCTTCTGTTTGGTCTTATCATTTACCTAAAAAGTTCATGTAAGGTAAAACTCTGAGATGGCTTCCACGTCCAGGGACCATTTCCTGCCTTCATATCCCTGCTCTTGCCCTAGCTTCATGTTGGGAGCATAAAGGATGCCAGACAAGAAAGTCCTAAATATTGTTCCTACCCCTAATGTTAAACTTTAAGCCTCAGTTTTATCACCTACAAAATCAGAATATTTGTATTTACCTACCTCATTAGATTGCTTCTAGAATCAGAATTGGGTTTTTTTTTCTTTTTTGCAAGGCAGTCAGGGTTAAGTGACTTGCCCAGGGTCACACAACTAGTTAAGTGTCTAGTGTCTGAGTCTAGATTTGAACTCAGGTCCTCCTGAATCCACGACTGGTACTCTATCCATTGTGCCACCTAGCTGCGCCGCAGAATTGTTTTAAAAACTATAACACTGGAGTCAAATCCAAAGTGGTAACAACATTATTATTTTAGTGCCCTACCTGCCAGTGGAAGAAATGAACTCTTTGCTTTGGCCTATTCCCTGAAGCATTGTGGATATTTTTTAAATATTGGTAGTTTCATCAAAACTTTTCATCTACTACCCATCAGCATGCCAACTTTTTCCCCCCTCATGACAGCAAGTTCTTAAAAATCTGTAATATGTGAGATATATAAATAGGCAATGAATTATAGAATTAATTTTATTCTGCATGTGTTGAATAAAAGCCTGTATTATTATAGTGGGCTATCTATGATATATGTAATTAGGGGAGGAAAATCTTATAATTTTGGCATTCAGAAATAATTCTCTCTTTATTAAAAAATAATTTTATTATGAACTAGGGAATATTAAAATTTAATATTTCATATGCAGAAGTCACAAAATGGTTATATAAATCCATTGCAAGCAACTTATTTCTTTAAAGTATGTATTATACTTAAGTGGTGGTAAGCACTGTCCTGATTGTCTGTGTCTTGTTCTGAACTTGCTTCTACTCTTTTGTGAATTTTTAAAATTTTGTTTTGTTTTTAATATGAGGCAGTTGGGGTTAAGTGACTTGTGCAGAGTCACACAGCTAGTGAGTGTTATGTGTCTGAGGCCGGATTTGAACTCAAGTCCTCCTGACTCCAGTACTGGCACTCTATCCACTGGGCCACCTAGCTGCCCCAATTTTATTTTTTTCAATCAGTGAAAATCTATCTTCTCTCTGCCTGCCCCGCTACCCCCCAGTTGAGAATGAAAGAAAAACAAAATCCCAGTTACAGCCGTGTCCAAAAATGTGTTTCCTTCTGCACTTTGAGTCCTTCATCTCTCTATCAAGAGGTGAGGAGCATTATTCATCATCATCATCATCATCATCATCATTGTCGTTGTTGTTGTTCAGTAGTTCTTCCACTATCTCTCAAAGTCTGACCAACTTTATTTTTGTTGTTACTCTTGACATTATCTTTCCATTTCATCCTCTGCCATCCCCTATTCCTTTTGCCTTTAGTCTTTGTCAGAGTTAGGGTCTTTTCCAATGAGTCCTGTCTTCTCATTATGTGGCCAAAGTATTTAAGCTTCAGCTTTAGTATTTGACCTTACAGTGAATAGGCTGAATTAAATTTTTTTAGGCATGAACTTCTTTGATCTCTTTGCTGTCTAAGGGACTGTCTAGCTCCACAGTTTGAAAACATCAATTCTGTGATGGTCAGCTTTCTGACTGTCACAGCCATACACGGCTACTGGAAAAACCAGAGCTTTAACTCTACGGACCTTTGTTGACAAGGTGATGTTTCTGCTTCTTGGTATGGTGTCCAGATTTGCCATAGCTTTCCTTCCAAGGAGCAAGCATCTTTTAGTTTCATGGCTGTAGTTGCTATCTGCAGTGATCTTTGAGCCCAAGAATATAAAAATCTGATACTGCTTCCATTTCTTCTCCCTCTATTTGCCAGGAAATGATGAGGCCAGTTGCCAGGGTCTTGGTTTTTTTTTTTTATGTTAAGCTTCAAGCCAGCTTTTACACTCTCCTGTTTTCCCCTCGTCATGAGGTTTTGTAATTCCTCTTCACTTTCTGCCATCAGAATGATATCATCTGCATATTTGAGATTATTGATAGTTCTCCTGGCAACCTTAGTTCTGGCTTTTGATTCATTCAGCCTGACGTTTTACATGATGTACTCCACATATATGTTAAATAAAGTGACAACACATGTACTCCTTTTCCAATTTTAAACCAGTCAGTTGCGTGTTCAGTTCTAACTGTTGCTTCTTGGCCTATATACAGACTTCCAGGAGACAAGATGATCTGCTACTCCCACCTCTCTGAGGACTTGCCACATTTTGTTGTAATCCACGCAGTCAAAGGCTTTTGTGTAGTCAATAAAGCAGAAGTAAATGTTTTTCGCACACTCCCTTGCTCTTCTCCATAATCCAGTGAATGTTTGCAGTTTGGTCTCTAGATCCTCTGCCTCTTCAAAAACCAGCTTGCTCTTTTGGTAATTCTCAGTTCACATATTGCTGAAGCCTAGCTTGCAGAATCTTAAGCATAACCTTGCTGGCATGTGAAATGTGCACAATTATTTGGTTATTTGAACATTCCTTGGCATTGCCCTTCTTTAGGATTGGGATGTAAGCTGATCTTTTCCAATCCAGTGGCCACTGTTAAGTTTTCCAAATTTGCTGACATACTGAGTTCAGGAATTTAACATCATCATCTTTTAGGATTTTAAATAGCTCAGCTAGAATTCTATCACCTCCACTAACCTTATTATTAGCAGTACTTCCTAAGGCCCACTCGATTTCATTCTCCAGGATATCTGGCTCTAAATCAGTAACCACACCTCCATGGTTATTGGTAATGTTAAGATCTTTCTTCTATAGTTCTTTTGTGCATTCATGTCACCTTTTCTTAATCTCTTCTGCTGCTGTTAAGTCTCTACTATTTTTATCTTTTATCATGCCCATTTTTGTATGAAATGTTCCCTTGATATCTCTAATTTTCTTGAAGAGATCTCGTCTTTCCATTCTGTTGTTTTCTTCTCTTTCTCTGCATTACTGATTTAAGAAAACCTTATCTCTCCTTGCTATTCTCTGGAATTCTGCATTCAGCTAGATATGTCTTTCCCATTTTCCCTTACCTTTCACTTTCCTTCTTTTCCTGAGCTATTTGTAAAGTCTGTTAGATAGTCATTTTGCTTTTTTGCTTTTCTTTTTCTTTGGTATGTTTTTTGTTGCTGTCTCCTGCATGATTTTGTGAACCTCTGTTCATAGTTCTTAACCAGATCTAGTCCCTTAAATATATTCATCACCTCCGTATTCATAAGGGATGTTGATTAGGCCATTCCTATATGGTCTAATGTTTCGCTACTTTCTTCAATTTAAATCTGAATTTTGCAATAAGAAACAAGTTTCCTTATTAGTCCTTGGAAATTATGATTGGTTATTACACTGATCAGAATTCCTCATTCTTTCAAAGTTGTCTTTCTTTATCATAATGATGTCAGTGAGTAAATTGTTCTACTTATGTTCACTTCTTTCTGTGTCAGTTCATACAAGTGTTCCCAGATGTCTTCAAAACCTTTCCCCTGGGGCAGCTAGATGGCACAGTGGATAGAGCATCGGCCCTGAAGTCAGGAGGACCTGAGTTCAAATCCGACCTCAGGTCAAACAGTTGACACTTACTAGCTGTGTGACCCTGGGCAAGTCACTTAACCCCAATTGCCTTAAAAAAAAAAAACACCACCATCTCCTTAATAATTCCCCATAGCACAGTTGTATTTCATCACATTTATAGGCCATAACTTCCTAAGGGCATTTCCATGTTTGTGGACATTGATCCCATCCTTTGCCACCTCAAAAAGCTGTAAATATTTTCGTACATACTTAGAATTTGATTTGGTTAGGACTAATTCCTCCCTTAATTTACCCTCCCTTTAATTCCCTTTCTAATTTTCTCTTCTCCTTGTCCTCCTAATTCCCTGTTGAATGAAGTGTATTTCTATATTCAGTTCTGTATGTGTGTTCTTACCTAACCTTCCTTTCCCTCTTCCTCTCCCTCCTCATTGTGTCATCCTCTGCTCTAAGGAATTCTTTTCCCCTTTCTTTCCATTCTTCTGAGATCATCAAGACATAACAGAATCACTTCTACGCATTGTCTAATTAGACTCCCTCTATGAACATTGATGATGATAAAGATCCGAGGGGACAAGTATTGTCTCCCCTTATTAAGATGTAAACAGTTTATCTTTGTTTAGTCATTTATCATTGATTTTTTATGTATCTCTTAATTTTGAACTTCAAAGTTTCTACACAGCTCTTTTTATCAGGAATGCTTAAAAATCATCTTTTTTTCATTAAAGGTCCATTTTTTCCTCATGTAGGATTATATTCATTTTTGTGAGGGTAAGTTATTCTTGGCTGTAGGCCTGTATCATTTGCCTTCTGCAATGTTGTATTCCAGATTCTCTACTCCTTCGGAATGATGGCTTCTAAATCATGTGATACTGACTGTTAGTATTTGAATTGTTTCTTTTTGGCTGTTTGCAGTATTTTTTATTTGACCTAGAAACTCTGGATTTTGGCTATGATATTTGTGGGAGTTTTCATTTAGGGTCTTCTTGGCGGGGGAGGCAGGAATTCTTTTAAGAGTTGACTGGTAGATTTTATTTCCACTTTACTCTGGTTCTAAGAGACCTAAGCAGTTTTCTTTTAAGGTTTTTCGCAGTATGGTATTT